GGGGGCTCGGGTACCCCGCGGGTGGGTGCCCGGGGGGGGGGCGCAGCGCTCGGGGAAGGGAAGCGGGACGGGGGGGTGGGTTTGGGGGGGGGGGGGGAGCTTTTGGCACGGGGAGCGGTGCCCGGGAGCCGGTGACTTCAGCGCTAAACTGAGTCAGCCCGCGGCGAGGGGGAGTGACAGATGGGGCGCGGGAGGGGGGCGCCGGGGGGGCGCACGCCGGCACGGGGCGCCGGAGGAGGGGGGCGGCGCCGAGCAGCTGCGCCGGACGCCTCCTCGTCGTCGTCCCCCCCTTCTCCGTGTACCGGGGGGGGGCACACGCACGCACACACACACACACAGAGCCGCCTCCCATCCCCCGGTGGAGGCAGCTCCGCGCTTCCCCCCTTCCCCTAAAAAAAAAAAAAAAAGAAAAAAAAAAAGAAAAAAAAGAAAAACTCCCCCCCACCCCCCCCCATCTCCATCTCCACCTCTCCGGGCCCGGGGCCAGGCCGCGGGGCTGAATTATGGATGAGGCTCTCGGGTTGCACCCGAGGGGGGGGGGGAACCGATATGGAGAGGGGGGGGACACGGGGGCGCAAACGCACCCGGAGCGGCGGCGACGCGTGTCACCGGTGCGCGCGTCAGCCCGCGCCCACGCCTGCCTTGCCCCGCACGTGGCCGCGGCACGCGTGCACGTGGCGCCGCCCTGCCGCCGGGGGCGCGCATGGGGGGCATCACCCCCCCGGGGGGGGGGGGCGGACCCCACGGGAACGGGGGTGTGAGGACGGTGAGGGGCGCCCCGAGGGCTCCTTGGGGTGCGCCGGGGTGCGGGGTGCGCACGGAGGTTGGGATGGGAACGTGAGCCTGGGTATGGCCCGAGGGGCTCCGGGGGCAGCGGGGTTGTGCGGGGTGGGTGTGGAGCTCTTGGGGTGCGTGGTCCTATAAAATGGTCGTGGGCACGGCCCCGGGGGCTCCTATGGGGTCTTGGCCCTATGGGATGGGCATGGCCATGGAGAGCGCCTTGGGTGCATGACCCAAGGGTGAGCACGGCGTTATGGGGTGGGCATGGCCATATGGGTTGGGCACGGCCTTATGGGATGAGCTTGGCCATTTGGGATGAGCACGGCCATGCGGGGTGGGCACGGCCCCATGGAGCTCCTGGGGCCAGAGAGAGCCTGTATTCAACCCGCACCCTGGGGTGCTCCTGGGGGTGCCCTCCCCGGGGTGCCGCGGGGTGCTCCGGGCGCCGTGCGGGGCAGCGGGTGCGCGGGGCTGGGCTGGGGGCTTCGGGGCGCTGCCCCAGGCCGTGCCCCCGGGCTGATGCCCCACTGTGCCCGCAGGCGGGCGCCTGGCGGCCCTGCTGCTGGTGGTGCTGGCGTGGGTGCCCGGCGGGGCACCCGCCTGCCCTGCGCTCTGCACGTGCTACGTCTCGCCGCCCACCGTCAGCTGCCAGGCCAACAACTTCTCCTCGGTGCCCGCGGGGCTCCCGCCCGGCGCCCGCCGCCTCTTCCTGCAGAACAACGTCATCAGGGCGCTGCGGGCGGGCACCTTCGGGCCCAGCACCGTCACCCTCTGGCTCTACTCCAACAACATCTCCTCCATCCAGCCGGGCACCTTCCGCCACCTGCCCGCCCTCGAGGAGCTCGACCTGGGTGACAACCCTCACCTCCGCGTCCTGGCGCCCGACACCTTCCACGGCCTCCGGCGCCTCCAGGCCCTGCACCTCTACCGGTGCCAGCTGGCCAGCCTGCCCAGCGGCATCTTCCGTGGCCTCCACAGCCTCCAGTACCTCTACCTGCAGGAGAACGGGCTGCTCTACCTCCAGGTCCGCCTGCGCTCGGGCAGGGACCCGGGGCAGCGCCGCCGGAGGTGGCCCCGTGGGGCTGGGGGGAAGGGGGTGGCTGTGGGGCGGGCGTCGGAGCTGGGTTTGGGGAGGCTGGTGGGGTTTGGGGAGGCTGGTGGGGCACGGGGCAGGGTGATGGGTGAGGATGGGGGTGCGGGGATGGGGCGTGAGGTGGGGCACCAACGGGACGTGGAGGTCTGGGTGGTGCCCTTGGAGCGAGGATGGGGAGGGGGCTGAAGGATGGGGACGTGGGACAAAGATGAGGGATGCCCGCGGGGCAGGGACACGGAGATAAGGGATATCTGATGTCCTTGGATCAGGAACTGGGGCAGGAAGATGAGGGATGCCCGCGGAGCACGGATGGATGACACCCACAGGAATGGGATGGGAGGAGGTGAAGGCGACGCTTGGTGCCCGTGGGGCCGGGACAGGTCCCCAAAAACGCCCCCAGCACCCACGCCCTTTCTCCCCGCCCCGCAGGATGACCTCTTCGCCGACCTGGCCAACCTGAGCCACCTCTTCCTGCACGGCAACCGGGTGCGGGCGCTGTCGGAGGGCGTTTTTCGGGGGCTGCCCAGCCTGGACCGGCTCCTGCTGCACGCCAACCGCCTGGCCGCCGTGCACCGCCGCGCCTTCCGCGGGCTGTCGCGCCTCACCATCCTCTACCTGTTCAACAACAGCCTGGCGGCGCTGCCCGGGGACCCGCTGGCCGCCCTGCCCGCCCTGCAGTTCCTGCGCCTCAACGCCAACCCCTGGGCCTGCGACTGCCGCGCGCGCCCGCTCTGGGCCTGGTTCCGCCGCACCCGCGTCTCCAGCTCGCCCGTGCCCTGCGCCAGCCCCCCGCAGCGCCGCGGCACCGACCTGCGCCACCTGCGGCCCCAAGACTTCGACGGCTGCCCCGAGGAGGACGAGGACGAGGAGGAGGAGGAGGAGAAGGAGGAGAAGGACGAGGGTGGTGGCGGTGGCGGTGCGGTGGCCGTGGTGGGCACCCCCGGGCGGGCGCTGGGCCGCCCCGGCACCCTGCCTGCCGCGCCGCCCTCCGCCTTCTATCGCGACGGGCTGCCCCCTCACGACCTGCGGGGGTCCCAGCCCCGGCCGCCCCCCCCGTCCCGTGACTCCCGCGGCCCCCCCGAGGACGACGTCCCCTTGGCTGCGGCCCCGCGCCTGGCCCCCGCCCTCCTGCCCCTGCTGGCCCTGCTCCTGCCCACCCTCTGAGCCCACCCTCTGGGCTGGGGGGCTCGGCCCCATTTGGGGGGCACCCGGACCCCTCCTCGTCCCCGGGGGGGTCCCCCTGGGTTTCCCTGAGCTGCTGGGGGCACCTGGAGCAGAAGGGGGGCGGTCCCCAGGACTCGGCCCTCCACCCGCCCTGAACAAAACCCCCCCCCGCAGGCAGCGAGCGGTCGGGAATTATTTATTAAAAATGGTCTTATTTTGGGAGCCTGGGGCCCGGCTGGCTGCGGCGCTGCCTTTCCAGGTCACGGCGCGCTCTCTGCTCCTGAAATATTGATGGGCCCGGCACCGCCGCCGGCCCGCAGGGCGCCACAGCGCACGCACGGCTCGCTGCGGCACCGCACGGACAGACGGACGGGGTCGGGACCGGCCGCCCCTCTTCTGGGGTCTCTCCGGGGGTTTCCTCTCCCGGTTTCTTGTCCCAGTTTCCCCGTCTAGGTGTCTGGTCAGGTATCTCCCCCCAAAGCATCCCTGGTGGTGTTTTGGGGTCGTCCCCGTCCCTGTGTGGGTGTATTAGGGTTTTCCCTGCCCAGGTGTGGTGTATTGGGGTTATTCCCCTGCAGGTGTCCCCGTGTGGGTGTTTTGGGGTCGTCCCTGTGCAGGTGTCCCTCTCTGCCTGCCCTATTTCCCTGTGTGTCCCCGTAGGGTCTTTCCTAGCCATCCCCTAGCGTTTCCCTCCCCCCCAAGCCCCCGGGGGCCGGCAGCGCCCCGTCCCCACCCCGCAGGGGATTAGGAGGGGCTCAGCCCAGCTCTGCCTAATCCCAGATTACACGGGTGGGGCTGGGGGCACAGCGGGTGCCCCCCTCAAGGACACAGCTCTGGGGGACACCGGGGGGGGGGGGCATCCCCCATCCCACAGCCAGGTTTGGGGCACGAACCCCCGACAAAACAGCGCAGGGTGGGTTTGGGGGGCGAGGCGAGCAGCCAGCTGGCCCCAAAGCCTCCAGTTTATTAATGGGGGAAGGGGAGGGGACACACACACACACCAAGGGGGGGTCAGGCAGTGCCCGTGCCCTGCTGCATGCGCTTGAGGAGCTCCTCGTCCTGCAGCGACAGCTCCGTCAGCTTCTTGCCCATCCTCTCGTGCACGTCCAGGTACTTGGCCACGCAGCGGTCCAGGCACACGCTCTCGCCCTTGGACAGCTCGGGCTCCTTGTAGTGGGGGGGGACGCACTTGCGGTGGCACGCCTGCGTCATCCTGCGGGGCACCGCGCTGTCACGGCCCCGCCACGCCCCCCAGCACCCCCTGTGTCCCCCCAGTGCCCCCCCAGGTACAGGCAGTTCCCCAGCAGCCCCCCCCAATCCCTCAGGCACCCCCAGTGTCCCCTAAATCGGGTCCCCCCAAAGACCCCCAAGACCCTTAGAGCCTCCCAGGCCCCCCAGCTCCCCCAGTTCCTTCCCAGCCCCCCCAGTGTCCCCTCACTCGGGCCTCTCAGCCCCCCCCCCCATTCCCTAGCCCCCCCAAGACCCCCTAACTCCCTGCAGCCCCCCAGCTACCCCAGACCCCCTCAGCCCCCCCAGGACCCCCCAGCTCCTTAATCCCCAACCCTATCAGGACCCCCAGCCCCTCCCCAATCCCCATGGCCTCTCAGGACCCCCAAACTCCCCCCGGACCCTCAGGACCCCCTCAGCCCCCCCCAGGACCCCCCATCCCCCCCAGTCCCCAGGCTCCCCATTCCCCAGCCCCCCCAAGACCCCCAAAAACCTCCAACTCCCCCCTCAATCCCTAGCCCCCCAGCCCCCTCCCCAGCTCCCCTGAGCCCCCCTGCGCCCCCCCCTGCGCCCCAGCCCCCCCAGGACCCCCCAGAACCCCCTCAATCCCCCCAATCCCTAACCCCCAGGACCCCTCAGCCCCCCCAAGCCCCCCCATCCCCCTCACCGGCTGTACATGTCCGCCATCATGTCCACCTCCAGCTCTGCCGCCAGCTGCTGGGCCCGCAGCGGGTCCATGGCGGCCCCCGGCGGGAAGCGGCCGCCCCACGCGCTTCCGCCCGCACGCCGCCCCGCCCCGCCCCGCCACCGCCCGCCGACCAATCGGAGCCGGGAGGGGAGGGATTGGCGCGCCGCCCAGCCAATGAGAGGGCGGGTATCGAGGGGTGGGGCGCGGGGCGGTGAAGCGGGAGGGGAGGCGGGCTGCCCGCCCTCAGCACCACAGGGACGGGGCCGGCGCTCGGCCCGCGAGTGTGGGGCTGGGCCCCAGTGGCACAAATGTCACCAGTGTCCCCCCCAGTGTCCCCCAGTGTCCCCCAGTGTCTCCCCAATGTCTCCACATGTCCCCAGTGTCCCCCCAAGTTCCTAAAGTCCCACATTTCCCCTCATGGTCCCTCATGTCCCCCTATGTTCCCCATGTCCTCACATGTTCCCCATGTCCCCCAATGTGCCCCCAATGTCCCCCCAATGTCCTCCATGTCCCCCCATGGCCCTCAACGTCCCCCCATGTCCCAAATGTCCCCTCAATGTCCACTGTGTCCCCCAATGTCCCCACATGTCCCCCCATGCATCTGTGTCCCCAGTGTCCCACCACATTCCCCTGTGTCCCCCCCTGTCCCCAGTCTCCCTCCATGTCCCCCCACGTGCCCCCATCCCCATGTCCCCCCCAATGTCCCCACTGCCCCCCCCGTGTGTCCCCCATGTCCCCCATGTGCCTGTGCACTCCATGTCCCCCGTGTCCCCTCATGGTCCCATGGTCCCCCAATGTCCCTCCAATGTCCACCTGTCCCACACCTGTGACCTCCCCATGTGCCCCATATCCCCCCTGTACCCATTGTCCTTGTGTCCCCCCGTGCCCCCCACATCCCTGTGTCCCCCCCATGTCCCCCCCTGTGCCATTTCCCCCCGACCTTCCCAAACCCCATGGGGGTACCGCTGTCCCCTTGTGTCCCCATTGTCCCCCCCGTCCTGCCATCCCGCTGCCACCCACGCGGCCGTGTCCCCTCCTCGCCCGTCCCACAGCGTGTCCCCCGCTCCCCCCGGCCCCGCTGACTGAAGGCGGCACCTGCGGTGCTCAAATAGCGCCGGGGGCCGGGACAGGGTTGGGGAGGCTGGGACGGGGCTGGGGAGGCCGGGACGGAGCCCGGAGGACGGTGAGGGTGGCCTGGGGGGGATATGGGGCAGGGGGCTGGGGGCCGGGGGAGCTGGGGGGGTAATGGGGGCGTTGGGGAGTGGGGAAGGGGATGGGGAGAGGAATTGGGATGGGGTGGGGTGGGGGAGGCCAGGGGGAGGCTGGGAGGGGGAATGGGGAGAGGATTTGGGGGAGATGGGAGGGGAGACGGGGCAGGGTTTGGGATGGGGGGGCATAGGGGGGAGAGGGGGCAATGGGGTGGGGGAGAGCTCAGGGTGGGGAGAGGCGGGGGGGGCACAGCAATTCCCCCACTGACAGCCCTGTGGCCCCGCAGTAGCGGCATGGAGCCCCATGGAGACCCTGCCCCCGGAGACCCCAAATCCACCGCCCCCGACATGGGGGACCCCACGCAGCCTCCTGAGGGGGCGGCGGAGGCTGGGGGGGAGGCCAAGGAGGAGGCAGCAAAGGATAATGGGGGGGAGGCCAAGGGAGAAGAGGGCAAGCGGGGGGGAGGCCACGGTGGAGGCACCAAGGGATAATGGGGTAGAGGCCAAGGTGGAGGCTGCGAAGGATGACGGGGGGGAGGCCGAGGGAGCAGGAGATGTCGGGGGGGAGGCCAAGGCGGAGGCAGCGAAGGGCACCGGGAGTGAGGCTGGGGGGGACACTGGAAAGGGCGCTGGGGACGAGGCCAAGGCAACGGAGGAGGCCGCTAGGGATGGGGCGAGGGGGAGGCTGCGAAAGGAGCCGGGAGCAAGGCCGGGGGAGCGGAGGCTGCCGGGGGCGAGGCCGATGGGGGGGCAGCGGTGAAGGAGCCCCCAGTGGCACCGGCTGCTGGGGGAGAGGCCGAGGTGGAGGCGAAGGCTGAGCCGGCGGCTGCAGGCGGCCCCCGGGGCCGGCAGGTGAGAGGGGACACGAGCGGGGTGGCACGGCTGGGGACAGGGGGACAGGGGGACAGGACGCGGTGCCACGTCCCGCTGCCACCCCACCTGTGCCCGGCAGGAGCCCACCTGGCTGCAGGACGAGGAGGACGAGCTGTGGCCCGAGTTCCCCCCCTGCTCACCCAGCGCCGAGGGGGCGGCCAGCCCCACGTCCCCCCTCTCTCCCACATCCCCTGTGTCCCCTACATCTCCCCTGTCCCCTGTGTCCCCTACATCCCCCACAGGTAAGGGCCGTACTGGGCAGGGACATTGGAGCCCCCTATAGATCCCCTATAGATCCCCTACAGATCCCCACATCCCCTCCCTATAGGCTCTGTCCCCAGCCCAGGGATGCCCCTCAACCTGGGACCCTGCACCCAGGGGGTGTCCCCATGCGGGGTGCCCCCCTCCCACCCCGCTGACCCCTCTGATTTCCCCCACAGCTGGTGCTGAGGGCTCGGGAGGCAGCGAGAGGTGAGAGCCGGGGGGTGGGACCCCAAAACCCGGCTGTCCCCATAGGTGGCACCCCCAGCGGTGCCCCCTGTCCCCAAGCACAGTGGCCACACCTGTGTCCCCAGGGCTGCGTCCCCAGGGGGGCCACGGGACCGGGCGCCCCCCAGGGTGGTGGCTGTGGGGCGGCCACGGGCGAGTGCCAAGGCGCAGGGGCGCAGCGCCATCCTGGAGAAGTTTGGAGGGTGAGTGGGGCCTGGGGGGGGACAGGGGGCAGTGGGGGCTCAGTGGGGTGGCTGGGGGGGATGGGGTGCGTGAAGCAGTCGGGGAGGGAACAGTGTTTTTATGGGGCATGTGGGACAGTATGGGCAGGGGGCAGAGGGGATACAGGGGACGTGGGGCACAGGGGCCACTGGGGAAGGGCCCCATGAGGGAAACGAACCCCCGGGGGGGCACCGTGCGCTGCCCCACGGAGCGGGTTGGCCATAGGGCAGCCAAGGGCCCGGCCCCACACCTGAAGCGCCCGGGGGGCGCCGGCTCGGTGAAGGCCATGCTGCTGGAGTGGTGCCGCGCCAGGACCCGCGGCTACCAGGTGAGGGGCGGCGGGGCGGGGGGCCGGGGGGGGGCTGCCGGCACCCTGACCCCCCCCCTGGCCGCCCAGCAGCACGTGGACATCCAGAACTTCACGGGGAGCTGGGGCAGTGGCCTGGCCTTCTGCGCCCTCATCCACAGCTTCTTCCCCGACGCCTTCGACTACAGCAGCCTCCAGCCCCAGGAGCGCCGGCACAACTTCACCCTGGCCTTCGCCACCGCGGAGTGAGTGCGTCCCCGTCCCCGTCCCCTCCGGTGGGGAAAATTGGTGCTAGGGGACGGTTGGGCCAAGGTGATTTTGGGGTCTTCCCAACCCTCATGACTCCGATGCCGTGATTTTAGGGCGCGGGCCGACTGCGCCCCGCTGCTGGACGTGGAGGACATGCTGCGGCTGGCGGTGCCCGACGCCAAGTGCGTCTACACCTACGTGCAGGAGCTGTACCGCAGCCTGGTGGCCAAGGGGCTAGTGAAGACCAAGAAGCGCTGAGCCCCCCCACACACCCCCAGCGCCCACCCCGCTCCCCCCCCCAGCACTTCGTTCCCCCGGCAGTAAAGCTTTGCAGTGCCCGGCCTCGTCTTTATTTTTGGGGACCCTCGTCGTGCTGAAGGCTCATGGAGACGAAGCAGGAGAGGGAATAAATTAATCACTTTATGGATGGAGTGGGGGCGATGCCCAGCCCCCGGGGGGGCTCAGGAGGGGGCCGCGGTGCTGAGCTGAGCTCAGGACCCGGGGGGCTGTGGCCGCGGCTCGGCGTGGCTGCGGGTGTGCTCCTCTGCCCGCCGCCAGAAGGTTTCGGGCTGCTCGCCCAGCTCGCGGGCCAGCTCCAGCCGCATCACCCGCTCCCCGTCGGGGTGGTCCAGCAGCAGCAGCAGGTCCTGCAGCACTGCGGGGGGGACACGGGGGGTTAGGGGGGGGGTCAGCGCCCGGATCCTCCGCACCCCGGCACCCCCCAGCCCCCGGCACCCACCGTGGACGGCGCGGGTGGTGTGCTGCCAGCAGTGAAGGGAGGTGAGGGGCTGGCAGACGTGGCCGTCCTTGCTCACGCCGGGGTGGTAGATGCTGGTCAGGAGCCTGGCGCGGGGGGGTTCCAGCGGGTGGTGCGGGGAGAAGGTCAGCTCGAAGCGGAAGGCGCCCATGTTATAGGGGGGGTTGTTCTGAGGCACAGAGCGGGGCGTCTCAGCCCCCCCAGTGCCGCCCGGGCACGGAGGGGATCCCCCTGGGACAGCCCCCACGGAGCACCCGCAGCCCCGTGTGCCCCATGGGGGGGGGGGAACCCCACCCACAGCCCCCTGGGTGCCCCCACAGCCCCCCCAGTCTGCACGGTGTCCCCAGGGGAAGCCCCCCTATAGTGCTTCCCACAAGAAGGACACCCCCCCCATGTCCCCAAGAACCCCGTGCACCCCTGGGACCCCCCCATGCACCCACGGCACCCATATGCACCCCTCACGCCCCTGAGCCCCCCATCCCCAGGACCTCCCCTGTATCCCCCACACCCCCAGAACCCCCTTCCCCCAGGACCCCCCCGTGACCTCCCCACCCCCAGGCCCTCCCCATGACCCCCCCACCCCAGGCCCCCCACTCACGGGCAGCAGCAGCCCCCCCCAGCGCAGCACGTTGCCCTCCAGCAGTTTCAGATCGCAGACCCCCCTCCACTGCTGCACCTCCTCCAGCTCCTGCGGGGGGGGGGGGGGAGGGAACGAGATTAGGGGTGGGGCCACCCCAGTACACGCCCCGACGGGGAAACGAAACTGGAAGTCGGCACCCACCGGCACCCACCGGCACCCCACGGCACCCACCGACACCCCATGGCACCTGCTGCCACCCCACAGCACTGGGACCCACTGGGACCCCCCGGCATTGGGACCCTCCTGGCACCACACCCCCTGACACCCCCTGGCACCCACCAGCACCCACCAACACCCCCTGACACCCCCTGACACCCACCAGCACCAGGATCCCCCCCGCACCCTCACCTCGGGGCCAGCACCCCCCAAGTGCCACCAGCACCCCCCACAACCCCCTGCCCCAAATACCACCCCGCTGCACTCCAGTACCGGGACCCCCACCCAATTAGGGTGGGCACCCAGCGTGCCGCCCCCGGTGCCCCCACCCACCAGTGCCAGCCTCCTGCTCATGGCCATCGGTGCCGGGTGCTGGGTGCCGGGTGCTGGGTGTCCCGTTGGGCACCTCGGGGTGGGACCCACCCAAGGCCACCCCTTTGGGGGTGGGGTAAGAGGCTGTAGCCCCTCCCTGAATATGGGGGTCAGAGGGGGCAGATGGGGCAATAAGTGGCTGCGCTGCCCCTTGGCACCTCGGGGGGCATGGAAAAGGGGTCGTTGGGTGGGTAGGCTGCCCTACCCCATTTCCCAATGGGTGCCCCATAAGGGGGGCAGCTCCTCCAGCTGCTGTGGGGTGGGCCAGGGCGATGTGGGGTCAGCACCTCTCACCGCGGGTGCCCCCGCCAAGCCCGGCCCTCAGCCCCCCCTGCACCCTCCCTCCGCCGGGGCTGATTTACGGGAAGCCTCCCCGGCCTCCCGCCCTCCTTAATCTTTAACCACGCGGGGCTGCGGCCGGCCAGTTCCCCCCAGCGCCCGGCCGGACACTCGGGGAGCACCCCCCCGGCACCCAGGTGGGACGGGGGCGGCCTCCTCCGTCACCCAGGACTGCGGGGGGATGTTGGGCAGGGGGCTTGGGGGGGCTGGGGTGCACGGTTTGTGGGTACAGGGGCTGGAGTGGGGGCGTCGGGTGCCCTTCGGGGCCGTGACCAGTGCTTGCCCAGCAGGATGGCCACCGCGAGGTTCTGCCTGTCCCTGCTGTGGGTGGTGGCCGCAGCCTCTGCCACTGTCACCCCGGTAAGTGTGGCCCAGGGACATGGGCTCCCCACCCCCGGGTGCCCCCCTGCCCGCCCTCACCGGGGTCCCCGTGCCCAGGTCCCCACACTGGAGGCTTCTCCCAGCACGCTGAGCCTGGGCACGCCGCAGACAGCGTCCCCACGTCCCACCCCAGCCCCTCTGGGGGACGTGGGGACGCCGTCCCCGCCTGCGCCCAGCCCCGAGGAGGAGCCCACCCTGGACGTCACCCTCGAGAGCAAGGAGCCCCTGGACACCCAGGAGCCAGGGCCAGCACCCGAGGAGCCCAGGACCACCGCCTGGTGGGGGCACAGCAGGAGCTGCCCCCGGGACCACCGAGGATCCCTTCGGCACCCTGAGCGCAAGCCCCCCACCGTGCCCCGGCGACGAGGACCCCCCCGAGGCCTGCGGGGACGCCCACGGGGGCGCAGAGGGCGGCGGTGGCCGAGGCCTCTGGGCACCTTCGCCGTGCGTTTCTACCGGCACATGGCGGAGGCGGCCGAGCCCGGCGCCAACCTGCTCTTCTCCCCCCTCAACGTGGCCCTGGGGCTGTCCCACCTCCTGCTGGGTGAGGGGCTCCGTGGGCACCGCCACCCCCGCCTGGCACCCATGGGTGCTGCTGTGGGTGCCCGCTGAGCCTCGCTGTCACCTGCAGGTGCCCGGGGTGAGACCCAGGAGCGCTTGGCTGCCGTCCTGGGCTACCCAGCGGGGTTGCAGTGTGTGCACGGAGCCCTGCAGCAGCTGGCCACCGTGCCTGGGCTGCTGGCCGCCTCGCAGATCTTCCACCACCCAGGTGAGCTGGGTGCCAGCGGGGGGATGGCAAGGATGGGGGCGAACCCAGCGCCTCCTGACGCGCCCCTCCGCTGCGCAGCCCTGTCCCTGCAGCCCCGCTTCTTGAACGAGTCGGCAGCGTTTCTACAAGGCGCTGCCGCAGGAGCTGAGCGGCAACGAGAGCCTGGACCTGCAGCGCATCAACGCCTGGGTGCGCCAGGCCACCCGCGGCCGCCTGCCCCGGCTGCTGGCACAGCTGCCCCCCGAGCCGCGCCTGGTGCTGCTCAGCGCCGTGCACTTCCAGGGTACGCCGCTGCTTTTTGGGTTCTGGGGGTGCTTGCGTGCTCGTTGCCCTGCTGGGAACCCCGTCCCCACACCCCACTGTCCCCACGGTGCCGTGTCCCCGCAGCCCGCTGGCAGACGCCGTTCAAGGCCAAGGAGACGGTGCCGCTGCCCTTCCTGCGCCCCGGCCTCCCGCCTGTGCCCGTGCCCACCATGACCAGCAAGAAGTACCCCGTGGCCTCTTTCACCGACTCCCGCCTGCAGGTCCAGGTACCCTACACACCCCCCCAGACATCAATCCCACGGGATTTGGGGTGGGATGTCCCCTCCCCGCCGCGGTGACCCGAGGCTGCGTCCCCCAGGTGGGGCGGCTGGAGCTGAGCGAGGGGCTGAGCCTGGTGGTGCTGGTGCCGCGGGGAGCCCCGGAGGCGCTGGGGGCCGTGGAGCGGGCGCTGGACCCCCCGACCTTCCTGGCGCTGCTGCGGAGGGCGGCCGGCACCCCGACGCGCGCCACCGCCATCGCCCTGCCCCGCGTGCACCTCGACCTCGCCATGGATGTGGTGGCCCTGGTCCACGACATGGGTAAGGCACCCCCCCGGCGCCCAGCCCTATATCACCCGGAGGGGTCCCCGCTGTCCCCCACGCCCCCAAACGTCCCCCTCCTCGTGTCCCCGTGTCCCCGTGTCCCCGCCACAGACTACGGGCTGTTCCTGGACGCGGAGCTGTGCGGGCTGGCGCGGGGCCCGGCGGTGGCGGTGGATGCGGCACAGCACCGGGCCGTGCTGGCGCTGGACGAGGCCGGCGTGGAGGCGGCGGGGGCCATGGCCACCTCGGTGGCCCGCACGGCCCTGCTGCTGGAGGCGCTGCAGCCCTTCCTCTTCGTCGTCTGGGACCACGCCGGAGAAGTCCCCCTCTTCATGGGGCGCCTCAGCGACCCCCAGCCCTGACACCTGCCCCACGGGGGGCACGGCCCCCTCCTTCCTCCCCTCCTCTCCCTCCTTCTCCCTGCTTCTCCTCTCCCTCCTTCCATCCCTCTCTCCCCCTTCTCATCCCATCCATCCCTTTTTCCTCCCTCCTTCCCCCTTTCCTCCTCTCCTCCCTCCTTTTCTCTCCTCCCCTTCCCTCCCTCCTTCCCTTGTCCCTCCCTCTCTCCCTGCTTCCTCCTCCCCTCCTCCCATCCCATCCCATCCCATCCCATCCCATCCCATCCCATCCCATCCCATCCCATCCCACCCCACCCCACCCATCCCATTTTCCCCCTTCCCATCCCTCCCTCTCCTCCTCCCCCCCCAAACCCCCACCCCCGTGGGGTGCCGCAGAGCCCCTGGCCCCCAGTCACCCCATCAGCTCCGGGCCTGGGGCCCCAATAAATGCTCTGCCCCCCTGCATGGCTCCTGTTGGAGGGGGGAAGGCAATGGGGGGGGGGGTCTATTAGGCTATTTGGGGTGGCAATTTGGGGGCTATCACCACCAGCACGCCCCAGGGGAGCTCTGGGCACATGCCAGCTGTCCCCCAGGAGGGCTGGGGCTCAGCGAGGGGGGAGCAGCAGTGCCGGGGGGTGACACCTGGCACCTTCCTATAAAAAAAAAAGCTTTTATTCCCCTAAAAAAGCTGCCCGCAGCCCCCCCCCCCCCCGTGCTGGTGATGGGCCCTGTGGTGCCCCGGCAGGGTGCCCCCACCACAGGGCACCGGGAAGGTGAGGAGTTGTGGGGTGGGGGGGGGGACACCGCGCTGCCACCCCAACAGCGGGGTGCCCCCCCCAACAGCGGGGTGCCCCCGGCGTGCCGTCAGTCCCAGCCGTTCTCCTTCACCATGTGCGACGTCTCGATGATGAACTTCCCCTCCTTGTACTTCTGGCTGCTCTCGAAGGCCTGCTCCTGGGGGGAGGGCAGCCTGAGACCCCCACCCCCGTATAGCCCAGGATTTGGGGTTTAGGGGTGCCGGGGGCGCGGGCCAACTCACGTATTTCCAGCCCAGGGTGGTTTTGCAGCTCTCGCAGAAGATGTCGGCCACCGAGTGCAGCCCGGTGAGCAGCAGGCGCTGCTCGGCCGGCCCGCAGCCCACGTTAACCCTGCGCAAAGCCGGGAGCCGTGGGCACGCCGGGGGTGTCCCCGTCCCCCCCCCCCTCCCCAATGTCCCCTGAGCCCCTCAGGGCAAACAGAGCCCCGTGGGGACACCCCCGGTGCCCGCGGTACTCACACGGAGTTGAAGAGGTAGGCACGGCCATGGCTGCCCTGGAAGGACTGTGGGGACACCAGTCACCAGCGGGGACACCCCTGTCCCCACCGCGTCCCCTGGAGGCACCACCACGACCCCCCTGCCACCCCCGGGACCCCACACAGGGATGCCCACCCCCCCGGGGACCCCACAAAATGGATGCCCGGCACCACAGGGACCAGCCCCCCCCCCCCCCCAGGGGAGGATGCTCGGCACCCCAGGACCCCATGGGGACACTCGGGGGGGACGGGACGGGGCCGCAGCACGGGGGGGGCACCTTGGAGATGAGCTCCTCGTGGCGGGCCAGGTGTGCCCGGCAGTGGACGCAGCTGTAGGTGCGGTGTGAGCGGGGCAGGTAGCTGTGGAAGGTCCTGGGGGGCAGGCAGGCGGCGGGGGGCAGGTGGCGGCGGGCTGGCGGCGGGGGCACCGAGGGTGGCAGGGCCCCGGGGGGCCGGGGGGGCGCGGGGGGCACCGTGCACCCCCCGCACAGCCGCTGGCAGGGGAAGCAGCGCAGCAGGGTGCTGAGAGCCGTCTTTCCTCCCGCGCCGGGGCCCCCCCAAGGGGAGAAGGGGCTGGAAATGGGGGGGGCGAGCTGTAAAGGGGGGGGATAGTGAGGGGGGGGCAGCGCTGGGACCCCCCCCACGGGGTGTGCAGGGGGGGGCAGTCCCCGGTGTGTCCCCCTTTGGGGACATGGGGGGGGGGCAGGGGGATAGGGGGTGTGGGGGGGTTTTGGGGGGTTTGGGGGGTTTGGGGGGGGTCTGAGGGGGTCCAAGGGGGTGCGGGGGGGCCGGTGCCGTACTCACCGCCTGCCGCTGTCCCCAATGTCCCCGCTGTCCCCGGTGTCGCCGTCCCCGGTGCCGTCCCCAGGCGGGAGAAGGGGGGTGGGGATGGAGGGGGGTGGGGGTGGGGGGGGCACCGCACGCCCGGGGACTGCATCACGGCCCCGTGACTCATCCCCCCCCCGCGTGACGTCACCGTGACATCACCGCCGTGATGCCACCGCCGTGATGTCACCGCCGTGACGTCACCCCGAGGGGGACGCCGCAGAGACGGGGCCGTGGGGGTCACCTCGGGGTCTCCCCCCCCCCCCCTTCTCGGGGTCCCCCCTCCTCCAGCCCCCGCTCCCCGCAGAGGGGAGGGGCATGCAAATGATATGCAAATGAGATGCAAATGAGCTTGGTGCAGGGAGTGGCGTGCAAACACAGTGTGAGTGGCTCTGGGGTGGGGCATACGGCGATAGATAACCCCAATCAGGGCTACAGACCCCCGCTGGGGGGGGTTATGCAAATGAGATGCTAATTAACAGCGGGGGCAGCGCCAGGACTACAACACCCAGGATGCCCCGCGCGGCTGCCATAGCAACGGCGGGGCTGTAGTGACGTCACTTCCTGCGCGGCGCGCGGCCCTTCAGGGCGCCGGTAAGCGGGAGGGAGGGCGCCATGATGGGGGGGGCCGGGAGCCCCGGGCCGGGAGGGGGCACCGAGAGGGGCCCGGGGGGGCTGAGGGGGGCTCGGAGGGGCTGAGGGGGCCCGGGGGGAGCCGCGGGGAGCAGAAGCGGGCGGGGGGCGAGGCCCCGGCGCTGCAGCCCCGCCGCGCGCCCCCTCAGGGCCGGCGCCAAGATGGCGGAGGAGGGCGGCGAGGAGAAGAAGCAGGTGGCCAAGTTCGAGCTGGAGCGCGAGACCGAGCTGCGCTTCGAGGTGGAGGCGTCGCAGACGGTGCAGATGGAGCTGCTGAGCGGCATGGCCGAGGTGTTCGGCACCGAGCTGACCCGCAACAAGAAGTTCACCTTCGACGCCGGCGCCAAGGTGGCCGTCTTCACCTGGCACGGCTGCAGCGTGCAGCTCAGCGGGCGCACCGAGGTGGCCTACGTGTCCAAGGACACCCCCATGCTGCTCTACCTCAACACGCACACGGCCCTGGAGCAGATGCGCCGGCAGGCGGAGCGCGAGGACGAGCGGGGGCCCCGCGTCATGGTGGTGGGCCCCACCGACGTGGGCAAGTCCACCGTGTGCCGCCTGCTGCTCAACTACGCCGTGCGCCTGGGCCGCCGGCCCACCTTCGTGGAGCTGGACGTGGGCCAGGGCTCCGTCTCCATCCCCGGCACCATGGGCGCCCTCTACATCGAGCGGCCGGCGGACGTGGAGGAGGGGTTTTCGCTCCAGGCCCCGCTGGTCTACCACTTTCGGCTCCACCACGCCAGGCACCAACATCAAGCTCTACAACAAGGTGAGCCCCGGGGGTCTCGCCCCGCTGACAGCCCCACGTGCAGCAGGGCAGGGGATCCCTGCCCGCCTCTGTGGGTCTGGGGTCACCCAGTTGGTTTTGGTGCTGTGTAACACCGCGGCTGTGCCGGGCTGAGCTGGGACATGGGGCTCAGCACAGGTGTCAGCTCGCAGAGAGGAGCTTGGCCCTGCCAGCTCTGCTAGGATTGAAGCTGCGCGGCTTCCTTTCCCTTCCCGCTGCCCCCAGCCAGGCTGTCTGCGAGCAGGGAGCCCCCAGGCAGAAAGAGATCCCACAAAAGCACATAGAAGCTGATTTGGACTCGCAGTGTCCTGCTGCACCTGCTGCTTGGTGACAGTTGGAGGCCCCTGTTTGGCCCGGAGCCGTCCTCAGCCGTGCTCTTGCCCCTGTCCCATCTGTGGGACACTGGGGAGCATGCTCTCCTGGTGTGGCTGAGCACCTTAAGGTCTCGTAATGTGATTTAGGAACGGCTCCAGCACCGAGCCTGGCTGCTGACTGGGAGGACTTCCCCCCAGGGGGTTGTCCACGAGCCAGACATCGCTCCTGTGTCAGCAAATAAACCTGCCAAGCACATTTAGGGACGTTGCTGATGGTCAGTGTGTCCCTAAGAACAGGACACAGCCATCGTGGCATGGCTTCCTGCCCACCCCCATCGGAATTGAATGTGCTTTGGCTTGCACACCCTGGGAGCAGGTCCCAAAGGTGATGGTGAGAGGGTTTTTGGGGGGTGAATTTTGGGACGCTGAAGTCATGGAGGTTATTTGGGGTGACACGGTGAGCTGCGGGCTGGCTGTGAGGAGCGAGGGGGGGGCAGAGGGAAGAGCCCAGCTCCCGTGCCCCCAAAGCTCTCCCCGTCTGCCCCGCAGATCACGTCCCGTCTGGCCGACGTCTTCAACCAGCGCTGCGAGGTGAACCGGCGCGCCTCGGTGAGCGGCTGCGTCATCAACACGTGCGGCTGGGTGAAGGGCTCGGGCTACCAGGCACTGGTGCACGCCGCTTCCGCCTTCGAGGTGGACGTGGTGGTGGTGCTGGACCAGGAGCGCCTCTACAACGAGCTCAAGAGGGACCTGCCCCACTTCGTGCGCACCGTGCTGCTCCCCAAATCCGGCGGGGTGGTGGAGCGCTCCAAGGACTTCCGCCGCGAGTGCCGGGACGACCGCATCCGCGAGTACTTCTACGGCTTCCGGGGCTGCTTCTACCCGCACGCCTTCGACGTCAAGTTCTCCGACGTCAAGATCTACAAGGTGGGGGCGCCCACCATCCCGGACTCCTGCCTGCCGCTGGGGATGTCGCAGGAGGACAACCAGCTGAAGCTGGTGCCGGTGACGCCGGGCCGGGACATGGTGCACCACCTGCTGAGCGTCAGCATGGCCGACAGCGCCGACGACAACATCTCGGAGACCAGCGTGGCCGGCTTCATCGTGGTCACCGGCGTCGACCTGGAGCGCCAGGTCTTCACCGTGCTGTCCCCCGCGCCTCGCCCCCTGCCCAAGAACTTCCTCCTCATCATGGACATCCGCTTCATGGACCTCAAGTAGCGCCCCCGCCCCCCCGTTCTCGCAGCCCCCTTTTTGTACCTCGTTCTTATTAAAGCCCTGCCTCGGGCTCCTGCCTCCTGCTGCCTTCTGCCCCCAGCCCCAGGATGACCGCCCAAACCCCCGCTGTGTGTGCCTGGGGGGGCGCCTGGGCACCCCGTATCCCCCTGTGGGGTTCCCGTGCCCCGGGGCTGAGCTTTGGGGTCCCGCCCCCGCCCCAATGCCGTGCCCGGGGCTCCCCCCGCACGTGGTACGTTCCCCCCCGTTCCCACATGGTACATCCCAACATGGCGAACTGTGCGCATGCGCCGCTCTGCCCCCCGAGGCCACTCCCCATGCCCATACTCTGCCCTTCTTTCCCCTTCCCACTCTGCGCATGCGCCGCTCTCCCCCTGAAGCCACCCCCCCATGCCCACACCCCGCCCTTCCTTCCCTCCTCCCTCTCTGCGCATGCGCCTCACTCCCCGCGAAGCCACCTCCCGTGCCCACACCCCTCCCCAGCCTTCCCTCCCTCTCCTCCCTGCGCATGCGCTCCCCCCCGCCCCTCTCCTTCCAGGCGGTTCCCGGGGCGGCAGCCAATGAGCGGCGGCGGGCGGCGCGCAGCCTCACTGCGCAGGCGCGGCCGTGACGTAGTGGCCGGGCCGCCGGAGCGCGGCGACGGTGCGGGCCCGGAGCGCTGCCCCCGCCGCCGCCTGGGCCGCGCCGAGCCGGTGAGTGCCGGGGGGGCCGGGGGGGGCCCGGGGCGGCCCTGACGGACCCCGGCGGCACCGGGGCCGCCCCTATCGCGCCCCGGCCTCCCCTGCCCCCTCCCCGGGTCTCCCCGGGCCTCCCCCGCCCCTCACGGGCCCCTCAGGGGCCTCCCCGGGCAGCCCCCGGGGCCCGGCCCCGGCTGTGCCCCCCGCTCCTCCCGCCTCGGTTCGCTCCTCAGTGCCCTTTGGTCGTTTCCGCGGCCTCCTTTGGGCTCGCCCCAACGGCACGGCCGTGTCCGTGCTGCGGGTGTGGGGGGGCTGAGGTTTTGGGGAGCAGGAGGTGAGGCAGGGATCCGTGGGGCAGCCCTGGGCTGGGGGAGGCTCCGTCCCAGCCGGCTGGGCGAGGTGGAGCAGCAAAACCTCCCCGCAGGCGTGCTCCTGGCGGGTTGAGTTTTGAGAAGCTGGCGTGTGAGCTCGCAGCGCTTTGGTTCCCGTGGCCTGGCGGTGTGGCCAGGAGCTCAGCGCCTGCTCCCGGCCGCACGCTGCTGCCCTGCCCGGGGAGGAACTGCTCCTCGCAGCGCGTTTCCGCGCTGTTCTCTGGCCCCTGCTGACGTAATGGGCTGCGCTGGCAGGTGTTCAACCTGCCTTCTTGCTAAGCGGGGCCAGATTGTCGGCGTGAAGCCTGTTAATCCCAAATTACCGGCCCCGGGGAGCTGCTCGCGTCTCCCTGCCACGAGAGAAAAGCCCCGCGGAGCCTCCCCTTCATCTCGCTGCTTCAGGAGTGGGGGACTCAGCCAGGGGACTGTAGCCTCGTCTAGAGCAACGCGAGGAGAGTCAGGCAGCTCGGCGGCCTTCATTTAAGGCTGGGGAGGTGGCAAACGGGCGGAGCTGGCGTCACCCAGGGGCTGTGGAGCAAAAGGAGCGTGCTGGGGCTGGGTTTCAGCTCCTGGGCGCGGGCGGTGCAGACACGGCGGGCTGGGGACGGGGCAGAGCACACCCCGCCGTCCCGCCGCCCCGGGCTTGCGTCACTGGGAAGGAATGGTTTGGCTGCCGGGCCCGCGGAGGCACGGCGGGGCAGGTTTGGGGCAGGCAGGTAACTGGGAGATGCTGGGTGCTTGGGAACATGGAGGGGAGCGTGCCAACGAGCTCCTCTCCATGGGCTGCTCCCAGCACGTCGAGGAGCTGTGAGGGAGACCCCAAAGGAGAAGGAAAAGGGAGTCCCCCGTGCTGCAGGAGCCCGTAAAGCCTGACTGGGAGGAGCAGGGAGGAGGGCAGGGCCCCAGAGGCGTGGGAAGGGAGGGGCTGGAAGGGGCTGGGGACAGCAGCAGAGCACGGGTGTCCCTCAGGTGAGCGGGGTGCGGCTGGCCTCTGGGGCTGGGGGAGGGCAGGAGAGATGGGGAGAGCCTGAAGGAGACTGGGCTGTGGGGAGAGCGGCTGTGGGGTGGGCTCTGCGTGTGGCTGGGAGCTGAGCCCGCTGCCAGCGGTGTGGGAGCACCCCGCTCACGGCTCCAGAACACCACCTGGGTTTCCGAGGTCAGGGCTGGCTTTGTGCAGGGCCGCAGTGGGAGCGGCTCCCCCATTACTCAGCCCTTGTGCCCCGCCGCCGGGTTGTGTGACGGAGCCCGCTTAATTGCGACGCCTGGGTGTCATTAAACGCGCCTCTAATTCTGCGCCGCGGCGCTCCCGACCCCCGCCAGTGTTGAGTCAGCGCCGACCATCGCCCTGCCCGCCCCACAGGACAAAACTGGGGGAGCAGCAGGGGATGGGGACGGGGCTGGGGGAGGAAGATGAGGAGCTGGGCTTTGGGGCGGGTCGCTGCCTCCCGCTCCCCTTTTTGGGCCGGTTTCTCCAGCAGCCGGGCCTCCTGCTGCCAGCGCAGGTCCCGCCAGTTCCTCCCCTGCTGGGGACACTGGTGTTGGCCCCGGGCATCCCCCGAGGGACAGGGGCCGGGATTGCCGGCCTCCTGCAGCCTCCGCCCTGCCATTAGGGCTGGGAGCCTTTGATTAGCCCCTTTCCCTCGGCGTTTCACACCAGCAGGGCGAGCGGGTGGGAGGCAGCAGCCGGCCGCCAGCCTGGCTCTCTCCATCCAGGTAGCGGCGTACTGCGAGGTATTTCCACTCAAACACCTCGATTGCCGTGCTGATTTATTTCCCTTCTCTTTTCCAGGTGATGCCCGACGCCTGATTTTAATGGTTTTATGCATTTTTTTTTAAACATACGGATTAACAAGGAGCAGCTTCACCTCCTCTCCGAGATGGAGCCGGATGGAGCAGGCGCCGCTCAGGCCACGGGCGAGGCAGAGCCGTGCAGCACCCTCCTCACCTCCAGCACGCTGCGGGGCTTGTGAGAGCCCTCCCTGACAGCTCTGCCCGGGACCTGGCCCCAAATGGTCTCCGCGGGGAAGATTTGATGAAATTCCCCTCGCTTTGCAGCAGCCGGGTGGAAACGAAGCCTGCTGGGAGGCCGGAGGGCCGGGAGGAGGAAGGAACGAGAAGGAAGAGGGTGAAACCGCGCTCCACGGGGCCTTCCCCTGCAGCCCCCCTCGCGCAGAAAGGATTTACAGCTCAGCCTCGCACCAGCTGTTCCTCGGCTTTGCCTGGCCGGGGAGAAATAAATAAAATTAAACGGCCACCGCCGGGCAGCCGGCCCCGCAGCCCGCAGGAATCAGGGAGAGTGCTGCATGTGACTGGCAGGGGGGAGGAGGAGGAGGAGGCCGAGTGGCTCGCTGGGGAGACGTCCCCGTCCCCCTCCTCCCTGCGCCCACCGAGGGGCTGCGGGGCTGGGAGGGCGGCGCAGCTCCCGGCGGGGCTTTGTGCCGCCAGCTCCTCGCCTCCACGCCGGCACGGGCCACGTGGGGACCTTTTCGGAGGCCGGCGCCTGACCTAGGGGCTCTCAGCCTGACGGCTGGGTGAAACCCAGACCCGCTTCTCAGCTCGGAGTTCTGAATTTTGGGGTTTTGAACTCTCTCGGGGCTGTCCGGAGGCCGCAGCGGACTTCTCCCGGCCTCCTGCTGCGGCCGGAGCTCGCTCGGGGAGGCCGGGCAGCGCCTCGGCCCCTTCCTTCTCCCCTCCCCTTCTCACCTGGCTCTGACTCCAGCTGGGCCTGGGCTATGCTGCAGGGCAGATTCCCCAGCAGAGCTCCACCATGCCAGCAGCGTCCGCAAAGAGGTTCAAACCCAGCAAGTACGTCCCGGTCTCGGCCGCTGCCATCTTCCTAGTGGGAGCCACCACCCTCTTCTTCGCCTTCACGTGAGTCCTGCTGCTTTTCGGGGCCCCCGTGGGGCGGCGGTGGGAGCGGGAGCAGCAGGGCAGGGCGGCTGGAATCGCAGGCCAGCGGGCGCGGGGTAACCTGCTGGGGAGCACCTCGGGGAAACTGGGGCACTTTCACACGGGTTTCACTGGGGTGGCTCAGCCAGGGAGGGAGGTGGAACCGCCGGGGTGGTTTGTCCGGCCCTGCCCCTCCTACGGGATGAGGGCCCTGCTCCTTGTGGCTGAGGAGCCAGCAGCAGCATGGGCAGGGGGTGTTTTTGGGGTTGCAGGGGGTGTTTTTGGGGTTGCAGGGGGGATCCGTGCCCGCGGAGGGGAGGAGGAGCCGTGCTGGGAGAGGAGGAGGTGTGGGGCTGCGGGCGTGCCGCGGCGCTGCCTTGCCCCCAGCGCTCTCATGTGCTGCCAGCGACAAGTCCCGGCACAGCCGGGCAGGCTGCGCCCCACAGCTCGGGGAGCAGACCCGCCGAGCTCCCCGGGACCTGCGTGGCTGCAGCAGGGAGCAGCCTTCCTCCTCCTCCTCCTCCTCCTCCTCCTCCTCCTCCTCCTCCTCCTCCTCCTCCTCCTCCTCCTCCTCCCTGTTAGGGGCCGTGGGTTTTGGGTACGGTCTGGGTAACATGGGGTCCCTGTGTCCCATGGGGTTTGGTGCCTGCTGTGGGACCTGTCCCCAGGCTGGAGCCTCCTCCCCAGCTGTTTTGGGCTCGTGCTGATCCTATAAGCCGTGCAGGTCCCTGTGTCCCGTTCCCCCCTCCTCCCCGAGATGCCAGCCTGGCGTGGCCGCGCACTGCCAGCCGGGCAGGGTTTAAAGTCCCCTGGGCGCAGCAGGGCCCCTGGCAGCTCTCCCAGCCTCTCGGGTCTCGCCGTGCCTGATAAGGCCGGGGGTTTGGGGCCGCCCCAAAGGGCAACGCCAGCCCCTGCAATCAGCGCTCCTTCCCCAGGGCCAGGGGTCAGAGGGTGGCACCGAGCTCCTCCCGGGAGGCTCGGTCCCTCCGTGCCCCCACGCTGGGTGCGCGGCCACCCCCAGGTGATGGCAGGGGGGTTCCTCCTCCTGCTGGCCCTGTCTGTGTCCCTGCTGGGGTCCTTTTGGGGCTCCGGCCAGCCCGTTGGGCTCGGCCCCGCTGTCAGCGTTCCTGCTGGCAGTGACTAACACGGTGATGGGGCTTAATGGTGGCCCTGGCTGCCCTCCGTTCCTTTCAAGCCAAGATTTTGGGTTTGGACACAGCTTTCCTAGAGAGAGGGGCTCCTGGAAGGGCTTCCCCACCTTCTGCCTTCCCTCCGAGCGGGGCTGGGAGCCTCCCGTGGACTTGAGGGCGTTGGGTGCAGGGACAGGGAGCTCGGCCCTGCCCTTCCCTGGGGCAAAGTCCCCTGAGGAGGAGGCGCCGTGCCCTCAGCCCCATCCACACGAGGATGAGGACATAGGGTTGGAAAAAAACCCCAAGGGCAACCCCAGCTGTCCTGCGGGACAGCTCAGCTCCTATGGGGCCAAAGCCCTGTGTGCAGCCACCTCTCTTCCCCTCCTCCTCCTCCTCCTCCTCCTGCTCGGCGCCCTGCCCCGCCGGGCTGGCAGCACCCGCCGGGCGGCCTGGGGAGGCAGAGCCGGCACGGCCGGTGCGGCACGGGGCTGCCGGGGAGCCGCTCCCAGCCCCGCAGAGCTCCCGGGGAAACGCCGGGGCGATGCCGCCGCAGATAGGTGCGGCTGGGGAGGCAGCGCCCCGGGGAGAGGCGCCCTCCTCCCTCCCCAGCTTCCCGCGGGGAAAGCTGTCACCCTCTGCTTCGTGGCGGAGGCGTCGCGGCGTCGAGACCCCAAGGGCTGCTCATCCCAGAGGGTGTCAGAGGGCTATGGAGGACCCCACGTTGCCTCATGTGCTGCCCCCTCCGCTCTCGCTGCCTAAATCCATCCGAGTTGGGTGCTGCGGAGGAAAGAGAGGGACAGATGCTGCCCTAGATCCGGGGGATTAAACTCCCCGCAGCAAAGCAGATTAGGGAATTACTCTGGCGCCTCCGCGGGGGAAGCCCGCTGCCCCGAGCCTGCACCCAGCGGGGCCGGGTGGGCGCTGGCAGCTCCCTCGCCCCGCTCCCAGCCCCACGCAGGAGCACCGAGGCTGCTCGGGAAATGGTTTTGGGGGGTGGGGAAGAACCAAGCTGCCCGGCTCCCCCAGGCCTCTTCCCACTGCGGTGCTGCACGGCCCCGGGCCGGGTGTCTCAGAGCTGTGTCCCCGCAGGTGCCCGTGGCTCAGCCTCTACGTGTCCCCGGTCATTCCCGTCTACAATGCCGTCGTCTTCCTCTTCGTGCTGGCCAACTTCAGCATGGCCACCTTCATGGACCCAGGCATCTTCCCCCGAGGTGAGCGCGGCTCTCGGCGGGGATCACCTGGGGCAGGGCCAGTTCCTTCCTGGGGGGGGGGGAAAGAGGCTTACGGGGCGGGACGAGGGTCGGGGAAAGCCGGCCTGGCCGGGACCAGGTGGTGGCACGCTGCGGGAAGGTCGCGCTGGGTTCGTGGCCCAGCTGGTGGGATCAAGTGGTGAAAGTCGCCTAAATCCCGGCCCCTTGTGGGCTCGGGGAGCTCCTCCCTCCTCTAGTCTGCGCTCAGCGGTCCCCGTGGCAGTGAGGTGGGCTCGGTGTGGGGGCAGAGCGGGGTTTTGTCTGCTCAGGAGGGCAGCGGGGCCGTGGTGTTGGGCGCCCCGTGGCCTGACACGTGGCTGTGCCGGCGTTTCCCCGCCAGCTGAAGAAGACGAGGACAAGGAGGACGACTTCCGAGCTCCGCTCTACAAGACGGTGGAAATCAAGGGCATCCAGGTGCGCATGAAGTGGTGCGCCACCTGCCGCTTCTACCGCCCGCCGCGCTGCTCCCACTGCAGCGTCTGCGACAACTGCGTGGAGGTGAGAAACCACCGGGGCCTCTCCCCCATGAGCCCTCAGCCCTAAAACCCCACGCGTGGGTACGAGGGGCCGCGGCCAGGCCCCTCACCGCAGCTCCTCCCCGCCCCCAGGAGTTCGACCACCACTGCCCCTGGGTGAACAACTGCATCGGGCGCCGCAACTACCGCTACTTCTTCCTCTTCCTGCTCTCGCTCACCACGCACATCATGGGCGTCTTCGGCTTCGGCCTGCTCTACGTCCTCTACCAGGTGGAGCTCTCCGGCGTCCGCATGGCCATCACGTATCCTTCAGGGTGGTTTTTTTGGGGCAGGGCGTTGGTGGGGCCGGGGATGGCACGGGGCGGAGCAGTGCTGCGGCTCTTCCTTAGCGTCCCGCTGGCAGCATGGCCGTGATGTGCGTGGCCAGCTTGTTCTTCATCCCCGTCGCCGGCCTCACCGGCTTCCACGTGGTGCTGGTGGCGAGGGGCCGCACCACCAACGAGCAGGTACGTGTGTGCCGGGTGCTGCAGGGCGCTCGGCTCCTCCCAAAACACCTCCGGGTTCCTCGGGGGGCGAGGCAGACGTGGGCAGGGTGGGCTGAGGCACGGGAAGGCACCGGGGACGTCCCGCAGCCACTGCCCGTCCCCGCACCGTGCCCCTCGTCCCGCAGGTGACGGGCAAGTTCCGCGGCGGCGTCAACCCCTTCACCAACGGTTGCTGTAAGAACGTCAGCCGGGTCCTGTGCAGCTCCCCAGCCCCCAGGTAAGCGCGGCGCAGCGTGGTGCATGCCCGGGGAGACCGAGCCGCCCCCCGCTGCAGCCCCTCACCACCTCCGCCCTCGCCAGGTACCTCGGGCGGCCGAGGGCCGAGCAGACAGTGCTGGTGAGGCCCCCCTTCCTGCGGCCCGACGTGTCGGACGGCCAGATCACCGTCAAGATCATGGACAACGGTATCCAGACAGAGCTGAAGAGGACGAAGGTGAGGAAAGTGGGGGCGTTGGCACTCCCCCGCCGAGCCCAGGGGTGCAAGCCTGCGTGAGTAAAGAACCGAGTGAGCCTCGTCACGCCCCGTGTCACCCTCCTGTGTCATCTCGTGCTGCGTCCCCATGGGGCAGGCACCGCGCCCGGCCCATGTGGCAGCGACCCCACAAGGCTTGGCACCCTCCATCGCCCTTCCCCGTCCCGTTGTCTGCCCCTGCAGCCCTTCAGAGGTCCCCCTTCCTCCGCACTCACCAGCAGCCGGGACTGGATGGGCCCAGGGCTGCCGAGAGCCCACTCCTGCATGCTCCCCGCCTGCCGGGGGCACAGCGGGGGCCTCGGCTCCCCCTGACCGCCTGCGCTTTGTCTCTGCAGTCCAAAGGAAGCCTGGAGGTGACGGAGAGCCAGTCCGCTGACGCCGAGCCGCCACCCCCACCTAAGCCAGACCTCAGCCGCTACACGGGCCTGAGGACACACTTAACCCTGGCCACCACCGAGGGTAAGGAAGGCGAGCAGGGCCCCGGCCAGCCGCCAGGAACAGGCTGCAGGGCAGACCCGAAGCACGTCGGCACGCGGCACGGTGGGGCAGGACGTGCCTGCACCTCCGGGCTGGCACTGGAAGAAGCCAGGGGGCTGCTCACAGCCAGCCCTGCTCCATCCAAGGAGGGCAGGGACCAGGCTGAGACCGCTCCTCGGCAGCGTGGTGGCCGGCGGGAGCCGCCGTGAGAGGCAGCAGAGGCAGGTTGGCAGGCACAGGAGCGCAGGCCTGGCTTGGTGGCAAGGAGCGTGCTTGTTGCAGCCTGCACAGCTCGGGCTCGCTCTCCCCGCTCCCCTGAGCGCCACATCGAGCGCTGCTCGGAGCCTCCAGCGTGGGCTTGGCACGAGAGGAGGGGTGAGAGCGGGAGCTCGGGCACGGCTGCGTCCCAGTCCCTCGATGTGCTGCCGGCCCCTGCTGACCTTCAGGTCTCGCCGGGGAAGCGCCCCCAGTGCTGCGGGGACCCATTTTCCATCCCCCTCCATCTCAGCCCTCCCCGAGCACCTCCCCTCGACCATTCCTCTCGCCTCCACCTCCGTGGTCTGTCCGCCCCAGGCTCAGAGCCGGTTCTGGGGGGAGGAGGGCGCCGGGCATCGCTCCCTGCACAGCGCCTCGGGCAGCAGCCTCACCTCTGAGCCTCTCTCTCCCTTCCTCCCCCCGCAGACAGCGGCTTGCTAGGCAAGGACAGCCCCCCGACGCCCACCATGTACAAGTACCGGCCCGGCTACAGCAGCAGCAGCAGCTCGGCCGCCTTGCCCCACTCCACCAGCGCCAAGGTAAGGTCACAAGGGGACGTCCCAGCCCTGGCCGTGGCTTTCTGAGCAGGGGGGGCTCGGCAGGGAGTCGCTGCCTTCCCGGGGGTGACTGCTCTGCCTCCTTCCCCCAGCTGAGCCGGGTGAACAGCCTGAAGGAGCCCAACTCCATCTGCGACGGCAGGCCGCAAGCCCAGCTACCGCTCGGAGCCCAGCCTGGAGCCCGAGAGCTTCCGCTCGCCCACCTTCGGCAAGAGCTTCCCCTTCGACCCGCTGTCCAGCGGCTCCCGCTCCTCCAGCCTCAAGTCGGCGCAGGGCACGGGCTTCGAGCTGGGCCACCTGCAGTCCATCCGCTCCGAGGGCACCACCTCCACCTCCTACAAGAGCCTGGCCAACCAGACGCGCAACGGCAGCCTGTCCTACGACAGCCTGCTCACCCCCTCCGACAGCCCCGACTTCGAGTCGGTGCAGGCCGGCCCCGAGCCCGAGGCGCCGGTGGGCTACACCTCGCCCTTCCTCTCGGCGCGCATCGCCCAGCAGAGGGAGAGCGACCTGCACGGCCGCTTCGCCGCCGCCACCGCCGCCTCCCCCAAGCACGCGGCGCCCCGCGAGCCCTCGCCCGTGCGCTACGACAATCTGTCCCGCCACATCGTGGCCTCCATCCAGGAGCGCGAGAAGCTGCTGCAGCAGCCGGCGGCGGCGCCGGGCAGGGAGGACGATGCGGGGCCGGCGGACTCGGGCGGCGCGGCCCCCCGCGGCGGCTCCTCTTCTTCCTCGGACGATTGCAAGCGCTCGCCCCTGGGCAAGAACCCGCTCACCCGCCCGGCCCCTCCCCGCTTCGGCAAGCCCGAGCCCCCGCACGCGCTGCGGGCGCGCTCCCTCGGCTCCCCCGAGCAGCCCGCCGCCCCCCACCTGGGGAAATCCGTGTCTTACAGCAGCCAAAAACCAGCGTCTCAGCCCGAGGCCGAGGAGGTGGCCTTGCAGCCCTTGCTGGCACCCAAGTGAGTACGCGCGTCCCCAAATTCCCCCCCAAACTCCTCAATTTTGTCATTTTTTTGCCCTCCTGCTCACCCCCCGTCCCCGCTTCCCTCCGCAGGGACGAGGTGCAGCTGAGGCCGTCCTACAGCAAGTCCAACGGGCAGCCCAAGAGCTTGGGGCCGGCCGCCCCCGGCGCGGGGCCCGTGCCCCTCAGCAGCCCCACGCGTGGAGGCGTCAAGAAGGTGTCGGGCGTGGGGGGCACCACCTACGAGATCTCCGTATGAGGGGCGCCCGGGGGCCTCCCCGCGGGCACGGACACACTGCAGCCCCCAGGGACGAGGGGCGGAGGGGCTGGCGGCGCTTCCCTTCCTCATTTTGGGTTTCTCCTCCCCGTTTTCCACCCCCTCCCCAGGACTCGGGTGCCGCCTGGCGCCCCAGCAGCGCCCCTCTTTCCTCTGAGGACGGCGGGGGGGCCCCCGTCCTGCGGCCCCCCGCCCGGGCCAGCCACTTGTGGGCCTTGTGCAATCACTCGCTCGCCTAGTGTGGTAGGAATGGATTGTTTTTAAAACCAGAATAACTTTTTTTTATTATTATTGTTACCGGATTCTATTTTTTTTCTCTTTCTGAGTTACCAGGTGTGTGTATATATAAATATCTATATATATAAATATAAATATTAAAAAAAAAAAAAGAAAAGGAAGAAGCAGAAATTATATATCTGACCCCGAGAGAGGGAGGAACAGCCGGGGCTGCTGCCCACGCACAGGCCCTGCAGGGCACCGGACGAGAAGGGGAAGGTGCCTGGGGGCAGCGCCCTGCCCCGCTGAGCTGGGTTGGAGGCTGTGGGGCCGCCTCCTTGCTCCATTTTTTGGGTTTTTGAGCCTCCTGCAGCCCCCGAGGGCACAGGGTAGGAGAAGGGGCGAGGCCCAGGTGCCCCACACGCCCCCGAAACCCCCCCTCACACCCGCAGCAGGGCCGGGGGGCGCAGGGGGATCTGGAGAGCCGCTCAGTGGGCTCCAGTCACTCCGCCCCTGTGGCTCCCGCTGGTTTTTATCCGTGTCCCTGGGGCTGTGGTGGGCTTTCTGTTGTTATTTCTTCCCCATGGGTGTAGGAGGGGTTCCTGGCTGTCACGCCGTTGGTTTTATTTCTACGTGGGGACGAGGGAGGCCGGCGGGGCACTGCCCCCACAGCAATATTTTCTCATCACATGCCAAAAAACAAAACAAAACAAAATGCAGAGGGGGAGCCCAGCGCTCCCCAGCCCCTGCCTGGGGCCCGGGGCCCTTGACGCGTTACTTCACTCGTTCTCTACGGCAATATCTCTCCCGGGGCCTCCGCAGGGCCACGCCATTGTTGTTTTTTTTATTCTTATTAGCCATTTTAAAATGAGGAATAAAAGGATATTTAATGAGCCATCCCAGCAGGCATGCGTGTGCTTTATTTTAGTGTCCAGGGACGGAGGCTCCCCACAGGGGCTCCTGGTGTCCCTCCCTGCCTCAGCTCCCCCTCCGCAGGGGGGGGAAGGAAAAGGGGGCCAGGAGGGGGGCACGCTGCAGTGCCTTCAGTCCCAGGGCAGAGCCAGGCCTGCAGGAAAACAGCTCCCGGGGCCCCGCTGCGGGTGAGGGTGCCAGCCAACAGGTAGAGCCACTGCCACCAGCCCCTCCTTAGAGCAGAGACTTTAATTAAAAGGTGAGTAAAAAAAAAAGAACAAGGAAAAAAAAGAGAGAGAGAGAGCCCTCAGTGCAGTCCCGGTACGAGGGGCTGAGGGCAGCCAGCCCAGCTCCAGCACAGTCCACGCCTTCCCCTGGTCCCGGCCCTCCGGGTGGGGAGGCGCCTGCCCGGGTCTCCCCGCTGCGCTCCGCGGGAGGGACGAGTCCATGGCGGGGCAGCCGGGGCCCTCCACGGCCACCCAGAGCTCCCCGCAGGCCGCCTCACCGCAGGCTGCTGCTGCTGCTGGCCTGGGAGCTGCCCACCCCCGGGTGCTCGGGGCTGTGCCGGTTCTGCGGGGGAAGGAGAGAGACGGTGAGGGAGCGGCGGGATCAGCACGGCTCCCCGGCTCTCCCCTGCTCCCCCCCTACCTTCTTTTTCTTTTTCTCTTTCTTCTTCCTCTTCCGCTCAGGATCCTCCTCTTTTTTCTTCTTTTTCTTCTTGTGGTCCGAGTCCGAGGGGGTTTCTGGAGGGACCAGGGGAGGAAGATTAGCGCGGGAGGGGGGACAGGACGAGCTGACGGCCTCATGGAGTGGCTCCTTACCGGGGGGGACGGGGTCCTGCGTGCGGCTCTGCTTGTGCTTGTGCTTGTTCTTCTTCTTGGGCGGCTGGATGTGCATCAGCCGGCACTGCTCGGGCAGCTGCGGGAGGAGATGGGGGGGGGTTAGAGGGCGCTGGGTGCCCTCTCCTTACTCCTTCTTCCCCCCAGCCCCCGAGGGGTGCCCCTGTGCCCCCCCCAACCCCCAGGGGTGCCCCCCCCAGCCCCCAGGGGTGCCCCCCCCAGCCCCCGGTGCTCACGGGGCCGGCGTGCAGGCGGAATCCGGTGAGCATGGTGCCGGTGAGGGGCGTGAAGGAGCTGCCGCAGATGGGGGGCTTCTCGATGAGGGAGCGCAGGCTGCTGTTGTCGTGGGAGCCGGGCAGGTCGATCATGCCGGGCAGGTCGGGCAGGAAGTTGCTGAGCTTCTCCTTCACCTTCTTGCCGCAGAACTTGTTGTAGGCGTGCTCCAGGTTGTAGTGCGTGATCAGGTTGGTGCTGCCCGTCAGCTCCGTGCTGCCTGCGGGGGGTGGGGGGGGCAGCGAGTCCCGGGGCTGCCCCCGCCGCCATTGCGCTGCCCCCCCCTCCTCCTCCACCTCAGCCGCCCCGCGCGCCCATTGGCCCGCCGCGCTGTCACTCAGCGCCCCTCCGCCCGCCCCCTCGCCGCCCATTGGCCCGCCGCTGCTGCCCGTCAGCGCGCCGCCGCTCCCCATTGGCCGCCCCCTCAGCGCAGCGCCCGCCCCGCACCTGGCAGCTCCCGCAGCAGGTAGAAGGGGCCGGCGGCGGCGGCCTTGCCCTCGCCGGGAGCCGGGGGGGCGGCGGAGGCGGCGGCGGAGGCGGCGGGGGGCGGCGCGGCCCCGGCCCCGGCCGCTTTGGCGGGCCCGAAGCCCAGCGCGGCGGCGGCGGCGGGCGGCGGCTGCTCAGGCGCCGCCGAACAGGGCCGAGAAGTTCTCCATCTTCCCAGCCTGCCCCGCGCGCCCCGCCCCGCCCCGCCGCGCGCCCATTGGCCTGCGCGCCGCCCAGCGCCCGGCGCGGTTGCCAAGGCGACGCCGAGCCCCGCTTTCCCATTGGCCGTCCCACCTGTCAATCTCGCTGCGGTTCTGTGGAAGAACGCGGCGGCTCGGCCTCCTATTGGCCAGCGCGCTGATAAATCCCCGCCTTTTTTTGACAGGACAAGCGGGCCGGCCAATCGCGGCGAGGCGGGCGGTGAAGGAGGAGGAGGAGGAGGGCGGCAAGATGGCGGTGGTGGCGCCGCTGCTGGCGCTGCTGTACTCGGTGCCGGGGCTGTGCCGCTGGCTGGCCCGGCCCTACTACCCGCTGTCCGCGCTGCTCGCCACCGCCTTCCTCATCGTCCGCAAGCTGCCGCCGCTCTGCCGCGGGCTGCCCTCGCAGCGGGAGGACGGCAACCCCTGCGACTTCGACTGGGTGAGACCCCGGGGCCTGCCGGGCCCTGTCAGCCCCCCTCAGGGCCTGCCACATCCCCTCAGGGCCCCGCCACCCCCCCCGGGCCCTGCCACCCCCGGCACTGCCCTCCCGGGCCGCTGAAGGGCTCCCCGGGCATCAGTGCGGGTTGGTGCCAAGCTCCAGCAGCCGCCGTCCTTGCAGGCCCTTGCAGGGTCACACAGCGTTAGGGGGAAGGGCCCCAACTCCTAACGTTATGGGGACGGGGAGGAGGTGCGGGGATTTGGGGGCAGTGGAGCCAGCAGCCCCCCATCTTGGAGAGGGCGATGCAGTGCTGGTGGCTGCTCCGTGGTCCTGCAGCTCACAGCCTCTCTCTTGCCTGCAGCGGGAGGTGGAGATCCTCATGTTCCTCAGCGCCATCGTCATGATGAAGAACCGACGCTCCAGTGAGTCAGGGCTGGGACCATGAGGTGGGGGCTGCTGCGGCCCTGGGGAGCTGCGTGGGGCGGGAGCTGGAGGAGCAGAGAGGCATGGGGACCATGAACATGGGGCAGGGGCTGAGGGGTGCCTGGCGCTGTCTCCTAACCTTCAGCCCCTTTTCCAGTCACGGTGGAGCAGCACATCGGGAACATCTTCATGTTCAGCAAAGTGGCCAACGCCATCCTCTTCTTCCGCCTGGACATCCGCATGGGGCTGCTCTACCTCACGCTCTGCATAGGTGAGACCCGCGAGGATGTGATGGGGGGACCCTAGGGTGCTGGAGGCTGCTGCAACGCCCCTTGGCGTGGCTCTGCCTGCCCCGAGCAGGCGTTGTGCCAGCTGTCAGGAAAGGGGCTGGAGCTCCCTGCTGTTGACCCGAGGCTCGCTGTCGTTGCAGTCTTCCTGATGACCTGCAAGCCACCGCTCTACATGGGCCCCGAGTACATCAAGTACTTCAGCGACAAGACCATAGACGTGAGTATCTCCTCCCCGCGCCGCGCTGGCACAGGGGGCCGGGGGGCTGTGCCTGCCGGCCCCCGCCGAGCCCCGTGGCCCTGCGGCAGGAGGAGCTGGAGCGGGACAAGCGGGTGACCTGGATCGTCGAGTTCTTCGCCAACTGGTCCAGCGAGTGCCAGTCCTTCGCCCCCATCTTCGCCGACCTCTCTCTCAAGTGAGTGCTGGATGCTTGGCGAGCCGTGGGGCGTGGGGTCACGGCTCTGAGGGTCATTTTCTGTCCCCGCAGGTACAACTGCTCGGGGCTGCACTTCGGGAAGGTCGACGTGGGCCGCTACACGGATGTCAGCACCAGGTCTGCAGGGGCGCGGGTGGCTCCCCCAGCCCCGGGTGGCACCGGGGAGCCCCCCAGGCCTCACGGATGTCCCCGTCCCTCCCTCCCCGTCCTCCTGCAGGTACAAGGTGAGCACCTCGCCCCTCACCAAGCAGCTGCCCACCCTCATCCTGTTCCAGGGCGGCACAGAAGTCATGCGGCGCCCGCAGATCGACAAGAAGGGCCGGGCCGTGTCCTGGACCTTCTCGGAGGTGGGTGAGGGCGGAGGGGGCGTGCCAGCCCCCTGGGGTGTCACCTGGAGGTGCTGGGGACACTGCGGGGGGGTCAGGGCGGGCCTGACCCCGCTCCCCGCCCGCAGGAGAACGTGATCCGCGAGTTCAACCTGAACGAGCTGTACCAGAAGGCCAAGAAGCAGAGCAAGCCGCGCGACGAGGGCAGCGAGGAGGCTCCCGAGGGGGCAGCGGCCGCGGGGCTGCCCAACGGGGAGAGCAAGAAGGACAAATAGAAGCCCCTGTCACCCCCTGTCCCCCCTCTGTCCCCCTCTGTCCCCCCCCTGTCCCCGCACCCGTGGCCCCCCCGTGCCGGTTCGGGCAATAAAGCTGCGGGGGGCGGGGCTTGAAGGGAGTGGGCGGAGTCTGTGTGGTGTGGGCGGGGCTTCATGAATAGTGGGCGGGGCTTGCGGCTGGGGGCGTGGCCTTCTCGAGGGGAGACGCGCCCTGATTGGTTGTGCCCGCGCCGCTGTTTCCCGCGCCGGGCGGAACCATCGCGCGCCCCGCGGGGGGGGCGGGCGGAGCGCGCTGCCGGGTTCTGCCCTGCGGGTGCGCAGCGCGGCGCTGTTCCCCCCCCCGTTTGTTCGTAGTGGTTGGGTCCGCCCTTCCCGCCCCCTCGCGGCCCGCGCTGCCGCCGCGCTCCCCGCATGGCGCCCCGCGGCAGGAAGCGGCGCGCTCCGGCGGCGGCCGGGCAGGGCCGAGAGGAACCCGAGAGGCTGCGGGCACGGCAGGAGAGCGGGACCGGGGGCGGCGGGGCCAGGGTCGTCATCGAGCACTGGTGGGGCCGGGACCGGGAGCGGGGTGGGGTCGGGAACGGGGCCGGGAGGGGGCTGGGATGAGATGGGGCCAGGAGCAGGTCCCTGCCCGGTACCGGGATGGGGCTGGGGAACGGGGCTGGAAGGGGGCTGGGAGGGCACTGGGAGCAGGGCCAAGAGTGGGACCGGGTTGGGGCCAGCACAGAGCTGGGAGTGGGACTGTGGGACTGGGATTGGGTTGGGCTGGGGTCACGATTGGGATGGGACCAGGATCATTGACCCCCCCCGTCCTTCTCGCCCACCCCCAGCAAGAGCTGACGGGTGTTCGGGCGCAATGCCGCGGCGGTGAGCGAGGCCCTGCGTGAGGCCGTGGCCGACCTGGCCGTGGACATCAACCCCGAGAAGCCCCGCAGGAACAGCTTCGAGGTGTCCCTGGTGAAGGAGGATGGCAGCAGTGAGTGCCCGCGGCCGGGGGGGTGGGGTGGGGGCTCCCCTCGGCAGCCCTGACCCTTCCCTGTGTCCTCCCCCCCCAGCCGTAGAGCTGTGGAGCGGCATCGGGAAGGGGCCACCCCGTAAGCTGAAGTTCCCCGACCCCGCTGCCGTGGTGGAGGCCCTGAAGAGCAGCCTGGCCTAGAGGAGGCGCCAAGGTGAGGAGAGACCCCAGCAACGGCACCAGGACCACCGCACGCTGACCGCCCTCACCCTTTTCCCCCAGCCCAGCTGGGCTCAGCACCCACGGAGCGAGCACCCATGAAGGGGCGTGACAAAGGGAGGGGGCGCCTGCCCCCCCAGTCCCGTCTCCGATGCCGCAGCTCCCCCGTGGGCAGCCAACGCTGAGCCCCAGCTCCCCGCTCCCCCCTGCAGCCCCCCCGACCCCTTGTTCAGTTCCCCAATAAAGCGCTGCAGCCCCACACCACAAGGCTGTCTGCTCCAGAACTTTATTTTCTCAACAACGCGTGGCCTCCATGGCCCTGCAGGGGTGGCCTGTCACTTGGGTGCGGGGCAGGGGGCTCCTGGGACCCTAGCCCAGGATATCTACCTCCCAATCAGACTCTGATGAGGGGCTGGGCCAGGCGCAGACAGCACCGGGGGGCAGCCACGGCTCTGCCACCCCCACGTCCACCTCCTCGTCCTCCCCGAGGCCATTCCCCTGCTGCTCCTCTGGCCCACAGGCTGCGGGGGGGGACCACGGCTCTGCCACCCCTCCAGCACCCACAGCCGGCCCCTCACGGGGCTGCCCCTCCTGCACCACCTCCCATTGCTTCCCACCCTCCACCTTCCTCAGTTTCAAGCGCCCCAGGGGAGGTCTGGGGCACGGGGCCCCCTTAGGGGGGCTTCCAGCACGCCCAGGCTCAGCCCCGCCGCCTGCTGTGGGGCAGAGCCCAGGGGAGCCGGGCTGGGGGGCGCGCAGGCAGCTGCGGTTGAGCCTCCAGCGGGGCCCGGGGTGCACCAGGCAGCCCCCCTGCAGCTGCAGCGACTCCAGCTCGGCCACACGGAGCTGCCGGGCGGCCGCCAGCACCTCCTGCGCCTCCTCCGAGGACGCCTCCAGCTCGGCAGTGTAGAGGAAGCGCACCAGCTTGCGCAGCGCCCCAATCTTCAGCCCCTGCAGCTCCAGCACCACCCTGCGACCCTGGGGGGGCAGCTCCCGGGCCAGCTGCTCCATGAAGAAGGGGCTGCACACCGACAGCACGCAGCAGTGGGCTGCCACCGCCTCCCCTGCGCGACAACAAGCAGCCATCAGGCCCCACGGGGGTGCTGCCCTCCCCGATCCTCCCCCGAAATTCCTCGGGGGCTCAGCGGGACCCCTTTTCTCTTGCTCCTGCCACCCCACAAGGGGGGTGCGGCTGCACCCAGCCCTTCCCTCTCCCCCCAGGCACCCCCAGCCCTTGGTACTCGGCCGCCCGCTCACCTTCTGCCCGCAGCATCACGTCGCAGAAGACGTCCTCGCGCTGCTGCTGCTGGTGCAGCCGCAGGAAGGCCGCGTGCAGCAGGCGGGTGCTGCGGTACAGGAGCCGCGGGGCAGCCGCCGACGGGGAGCCCGGGGACATCCCTGCGGAGACACACACGGCGCTGGGGGCGCGGGGCTCAGCCCCCCGCCTGCTGCAGCCCCCCAGGGCAGGGCTGCAGCCCGCAGCAGCTCACTCACATCGCTGTCGCCTCCCTCCCGGCCCCAAACACGTCCCCGGCCGCCAGGGGGCAGCGGCCGCGCCGATTCTGAGGCAAAACCGCGCGGTTTTGGGGTCCGCAGCCTGACCCGCGGCCACGGGGCCGGCACCGCCGCGTACCTGCCCGTGCGGGTGGCGGGAGCCGAGGGGTGGGGACGCGCGGACACGGCCGGACACACGGACAGAACCGGGACACGCGGACGGGACCCGGACACACGGACAGGGCCCGGACACGTGGACGGGGCGCTGCCCGCCGGCGGCTGCGGTTCCCGCGCGCGCGCCTCGACCCCCGCGCCACGTGCGGCCCGGCCCTACCCTGCCCAGCAACGGCCCCGCCATTGGCCCGGCCCGCCAGCCAATGGCGGCGCGGCGGGGTGTTTGGCGGGAAGGGGCTGAGGGAAGGGGCTGAGGGGAGGCAATGGCAGGGCGGGAGGGCGGGCGGTGAGGAGGTGGTATGCCCGTCGGGCTGCCCCTCGCCATGTCTGTGCCCCATAATGGCCGCCCTGGCCTTTTACCAAGAGGCTCCTGTTCAAATTCAGCCCCTCGTGGTTTCTCAGGCTGTCTGAACCATGTTAAATGGGGCTCCGGAGGCAAACCTGTTGGGTTCTTTGTAAAACCCCATTAGGGTTTCCCCAAACCCTAACATTAACCTCACTTAGGGCTTTGCCAGACCCAGCCCTCAGGCTTCAAAGCACCCAAGCTAGCAGGCCTGAGGGCTGAGCTCCTCCCGGCCACCACCTCGCAGGGCCACGACGTGAAGGCAGCAGGGATCAGCTGCCTGCCCCGTCCTGGTCACACACCATGCCCAGGCTGTGCAAGGCAGCCCAGCTAGAATTTGGGAAAAAGCTCCGTGCTGCTTGCAGTCACCATCATGACAGGGTTTAAACACACAAAGAAGAGAGAAATAAGCGCAGTGGGTGCTGAAGCTGCAGGCTCCCAGTGGTGGCACTTGAGCTCAGCAGCGTCAATCCCTGCTCCAGGGCCCTGTTTTGGGCTCCCCAAGCCCTCTGTGGCTTTGCATGTGAGAAACGGCGCTTCCAGGGCTTCCTGACGCCCCTCGGGAGGCCAGGCCGGCTGCACACAGACACCAGGCAGAAAGGGCAGGATTGATAGCGGGCGTTTTGGAAACTGGCCTTCGTGCAAGCGGCGCGGCCCACTGAGGAGAGCCTGAACCGCGTCTTGTCGCGTTATAAAGCGCCCATTGTGGAGACATCTGCGTCAGTCACTCCACACACACACGAGCAACAATTGTAATAATCCCAGCCCCATGGCCTGCAGATATTAGCTGCCCGTACAAACAGCCCAAGTGGGTGGAAGTTTTCAAGAGCTGCGGAAGAGCGGCAGCCGAAGCGGCGCTGCCGATGTGAAGCCTACAAAGTTTGCTGCAGCTGTGCCATCCCCCGGTGCTTTCTGCGGCGTTACGGATGGATTTGCAATGGATTTTCATGCGTTTCCACATGTGAGGGTGTTCTCAGTTTTCGCTGCGTGCAGAGCTGGCACAAACCGGGGAGGAAAGTGCCTGATTATAGGTCTGGGCCAGGGACTGCTGAGGTTAGTGGCAGTCTTTCCACTGACCTCGAGTGGCTTTGAGGCCAGCTCTAAATACCAGGGGAAACAGCGAAACGCGTAATTTCATATCAAAGTGCTATCATATGCTCGTAAAAATAGACACAGAAAAAAAGAGAGAGAACTTTCCTCCCCCACCCTTTGCAGTCTTTTGGAGTTACGATAGTCGAAGCTGTGTGTTGGAAAACTTGGATTCATGGGGAGCAGATGATTATTGATTTAGGGGCATCCCTTCACGTGGGTTTCAGAGTACAGCCATAGCTGCTTCGTGATGTTTTACGCCATGCCTGCACCATGCTGGTGCTGCAGAGTGGGAGAGGGTGAATTTATTCAGCAGAGCTGAGGGAGAGACCCCAAGCCTGACTCGTAAAGCAGGAGCCCTGTACAGCAGGAGCCTGCAGGTGGGACGGTAACGCCGCAAATCGCTTGTCAGCTGGGTGAGCTGACCAGGGAGGAGAAGGCAAGGCAAAGCAACGGAGCCAGGGCAAAGCTAAATTAAAAAATTCCAAGGCGCTGATATCAGAGGACTTCCCCTTGTGACCGGGCGGCTGGCGAGCAGGTGAGGCAAAAATCCCGAGAACTGGAGCAGGCTCAGCCTTCGGTGGCGCAGCGTTTGCACGTCCACCCTTGGGAGGATTCCTGGCGAGGCAGGGCTCTTCCCTTCCCTTCCTTGTGTCGCTCAGCTTCCCGAGGACATCCCAGAGGCAGGGGTGATCAAAGGGTGGGTGACCCTGTCCTAGGGTGCAATCCTGGCCACCAGCTGCTGCTGCTCTGCCTGCAGGAGGGGCAGAGAGCTGCGAGCTTGAAGGAGGAGAGAAAACACAGCCTGTGCTCCTGGCAGGCAGCACGGGGGCTTGGGGGACACGAGCTGACCGAGGTGACACAGGAGGTGACACAGCAGGTGACACAGGAGGGACAAAGCCCCTCGGCTGCGGGGTGTGACAGGCTGTGTGAAGCAGCCTCTCCGCGTCCTGCTGGTGCTGGCCAGGGAAGGGAAAGCAAAGCGTTAAAGGGCAGAGTCCACTCTGGGTTTGCGGGCTGCCCCAGCAGCCTGCAGAAGGAGGCTGGCACAGGCGACAGGCCCTTCGCTTGGAGGCGTTTTTAGCGTTTCACAGAGGCAAAAAAACGCTAATCCCGGTCACGCTCCTCAGCCGCAGCCCCTGGTGCTGCCTCTCCCTCCTCTCCTTGTCTGCCCTTAAAAAGTTTCTGCTATATGACCTGGCAATACCAGCGAAACAATCCTCCTGTAGATAGCTGCACACAAAAGGGGCCTTTGACGAGTGTAACTTCTACTGGTGCTCAGCGCCAAATAATGGCAGGCTGGAGGAAGCACCCACACCCTGCTGTCCCAGAGACCCCTCTCTTCACAGACACCCCCCAGCTGTACCCAAAGCCAGAGGGGGATGAGGTCCAGGTACCCGCACCCTCCTTTATTATTATTAACCCTCGCTGTCTCTGCAGGGAGACCCTCAGGACACGGCCAGGTCCGTGCTCTGCCCTTGAGAGCCCGTCCTTGGTGGGGGCCCCGGTGGATGAATGTCTAGTGGGGTTGGGTGAAACCTCACTTTTTTGCTCAACATCTTCAAATTAGGCTCAAAAAGCCCCGGTAGCCCCACTGTGCCCCCTCCTGCTCCACGCAGACGCCCCACGAAGGAGCCGATTCCCCTCCCCTGTCGGGATTCCCATAGGAAGGGGTGGCGGAAGCCTGGCAGCGCTGCCTCGGAACAATGCTGGGCCTGCGGACGGCTCGGCACGGCTCGGCACGGCACGGCACGGCAGCTCCTCTTCCTCCTGCCCCCCGCCGCCGGGGAGCCTTCCTCTGGCTGTAAACAAGTCGTCGTGCTCTGTTCCGGGCGTCTTGTCTGGGGAAGGCATGGGCAGCGCTGCAGGATGAAAGGGGACGTGCGAGGCGTTATTACCCCTAATTACTGGAAAAGAGGGGAATTTTTTCCCATGCCGGGAACGCAGCTCTTCCTCCCAGCAGGCGGTGGGACGGAGTGCTCTGCCCCGCTGCTCGTGTTTAAACCATTTCGCCCCGCTGTGCTGCGGGGTGTCCCGAAGCAGCAGCCGAGGTGACAGGGCGCTATTAGGGCCTGCCGCCCCCGGGACAAGAGGCTTCAAAGAGATCTGGGGCTCCCGTTCAGCCCCACACAGGCGTGTTCGCAGCAGCCTGGCTCATCTTTGAAGAAACCCTCCAGAGACTTGAAAGGCTGCGAAATTCCTGGGCTGACTGAAATAGCAGCGCCCAGGCGGGGACGCATCAGACACGGGGGCACGGTGACCGACCCACCTCAGGGAGGGTCTGGGGGCTGCTGCAACAGCCACCAGCCTCGGTTTGTCCCTCGCCTTAATTTAATCCCCTTTATTTTTGCATCACCCTCAGCCAACCCCACCCCTGGCCGGGGGATTTGCCTTCCTCAAACACTTGCAGGCGCTGAGCACGTCCTCGTCCTCCCCACCTCCTCCTCCTTGCCTAACCGGGCAAGGCGTATTTACCCCTGGAGTCACCTGCCCCCACCCAAACCATTCGGCAAGGCTTTTCCTCGTGTCATTATCTCGCCGGGAGTGTGGCAATCGGGAGCAGGAAGGATGATCTAAAGAGCCTGGATCTCGCCAGCCCCCATCTGGAGGCGAGGCAGCGAATTTGGGATTTTTGGGCTGGTGGGGGCAGCCGAGACCCCCCCCCAGCACCCTGCTTATCTGCACAGGGCTCGCCCCAGCCCAGCCCCGTGTCTGCCTGGCCAGGTCCCTGGGTGTCGGCCCCCCGTGTCTAGACCTCCAAAAGGAGTTGAAGACCCCCACCCCTTGAAGACCCCCAATCCTTGAAGACCCCCAATCCTTGAAGACCCCTAACCCTTGAAGACCCTCAACCCTTGAAGAGCCCCAACCCTTGCAAACCCCACTCCTCCAAGCCCCCCAACTCTTGAAGACCCCACCCCTCAAAAAACATCCACCCCTTGATGACCCCCACCCCTTGAAGACCGCCACCCCTGAACACCTCACCCCTTGACGACCCCCAACCCTTGCAAACCCCACTCCTTGAAGCCCCCCAACCCTTGAAGACCCCATGCCTTGAAGACCCCACTCCTCAAAAACCCTCCACCCCTTGAAGCCCTCCACCCTTTGACAACCCCCACCCCTTAGAAGACCCCACTCCTTGGAGACCCCACTCCTTGAAGACCCCCACCCCTTGAGGACCCCACCCCTTGAGGACCCCCACCCCTTGAAGCCCTCCCCTCCCCGAAGCCCCTCACCCCCTGCACCCCCCCTCGCCATGCCCCATTAGCGCAGGCCGCCCCCATCCCCCCCATCCCCTCCCTGGGCACCCCCAGCCCCGGTGCCCCCCCCAGCCCCCCCCCTCCCCTTAGCCCCGCCCCCTCCCCATTAGCCCCGCCCCCTCGCCCCCTTAGCCCCGCCCCCTCCCCTCCGCCCCTCACCCCTGCAGCAACGCCCTCCGCCATTGGCTCGCGGTGCCGTGACGTCACGAGGGGGCGTGTCCATCGGCGCCCCGCCCCCCGCCCCGCCGCAGCACCTTCCATTTTAGGTGCGGGAGCGGCGGCGGGCGCACGGCGGGGAGGCCCTGCGCGGCCCGGCCCGCTCCGCACCGCTCCCCAGCCGGATCCGGAGCCGCTCCGCTTCCCGGCACCAACCCCGCAGGAGCAGCCCGGCCGCGGTGAGTCCGAGCGGGCCCCTCCGTTCCCTTCCCTCCCCCCCTGCGCCTTTGTTCCGCCGGGGCAAGTGCGCGGGGTGGGGCCCCGGCAGTGCGAGGAGCCCCGCTGGGGGCTGACCACGGGGAAATTGGGTTTGGGGGGGCGGCTCGCGGATGCCCCCGGGGTGCCCAGGAGCCCTGGGGGGTGGGAGCAGGGCTGGGGGGGCGGGGGGGGGTTAGGGCTGCCCCCAAAATGCTGCCCTGGGGGTGGGGGGGGCTGGCAGCGTGTGGATCCCTGGGTCTCGCTCCTGGGGGCTGTGCTGGTTTATTTTGGCAGAGCTTTGGGGGACCCCGACCCCCAGGAGGGGTGTGGGCTCAGCGGGATGCCTGCTGCACCCCTCCTGCTGGGGGTTGCCCCAACACCTCAAAAAACCCAACAAACACCCTCAAAGCCCTTCTCCCCCCACCCGGCTGGACGCGGCCGGGACGCTGTTGCATGCCAGTGGCCGTCCTGCGTGATGCGGAGCCTTCCTGGAAGGGGGGGGAGGATGAGAGAGAGAGAGCGCTTCCTCGGGGGCTGCGCAGGGCTGAGCCACCGCCTGCTGGCCGTCACGCCGGGCACACGGCCCCGGCTCAGCAGCCCTCGAGGTCATTATGTCACTTGGGATGGTCTGGGAGGTGGAGGTGAGGGGTCCAGCCCCACCATGCAGCTGGTCACCACCTCCAGATTTTGGTGTCGGCTTCTCCAGGCAGCCTGCTGGTTCTCGGTGACCTTAGGGTGCTGCTCCAGTTCCTTGTTTTCCCTTCTCAGCACCCCCTTATAGTCATCCCTGGCTGTTTGGGGTGTTCCTGAGGGGTGTGTGGCGCTCCCAGCCTCGCCCCCCACACCCAGATCCCCATATTGCTGCTGTCCTCGCCCATCATCATCATCCCTGATGGCCAGAAGCAGCACTGGGGCTGTTCGGGGATCCTAAAAGCATCAGGGTGCTGCCTGGCCGTGGTGCCAACCCCAAACCTCGGGGTGACCGAGGGCAGCGTGTGCCACGGGGCTCGGCGGGCGGAGGGAGCCGTCCCCTGGCACGGAGCGCAGGAACGCGGCTCCACACGAGGCTGCCTGGAGAAGGGCCGGGTTTACAGCCCGCAGAACAAAGTCCCGGACTTCCCCGAGGTGGCCGCCACCTCCCGCTGGCTCTGCTGCCCCCACCGAGGCCGTTTTGGGGCCGCCGGGCTCGGCGCCGTCTCCTCGGAGGCCGGGGGCTCCCGGCAGCGGGCCGATGACTGGCGCTGGCTCATGAGCGTGTCTGGCTCCTCCGCGTCTCGTGGCTGTTGCTAATCCGCCCGCCTTTCCACCCAAAATAGCCGCTCGCATTGTCTCGCCCGCTGCCACCACGTATCCGAGGGACCGAGCTCCGTCCCGTCCCCATACCCCAACTATGGGATCAGGAGTTCCTTCTCCTGCTTTCCCCACCTCTGGGGAGGGGGAAGCGCAGCCAGGTCCGGGTTTGGGGTCAGAGCCCCACGGGGCTGAGTCAGGAGCGGGGTGCCAGGCGTGGCGTGGCCATGGGGCAGCCGTCAGCCCGCTGCGGGGCTCCCCCAGGGCACGAGCCCGCCCTGGCTGCCGCCGTTCCTGCGGGGCGTTGGCCCCAAAGGCTGCTCAAAGTTCACCCCCTGCCCGGCCCAGGAGCCTGGAGGACACAGCCCTCCTCCTCCCGGCTGCTGGGGGCGGTTTGTAGGAGCTCAACAGCACTGATTTGTGTGTTTTTTCCCCTATTTTCACACCGTGATCCCGCCGAGAAGCCCTCCCAGTGCCGTCCCAGCGCGGCTGACTGCCGGGACCAGTTTTTGGGAGCGGTGAGGGCGGGTGGCCGGGCTGCGTGCCGCCGGCAGGCCCCCGGCCCCGTGGAGCAGCGCGGCACGGAGCAGCAGGGCGCATTCTTGGGAGCGTGTCGCTGCTTGCCGGGCCTGCCTCGCTGCACGCTGCCCCCGGGATCCTCGGCCTGCCGCTCTGCGGGGTGAGCACGGTTCAGTTTGTCCCCACGGGATGTCCCTCGTCCCAGGGCGTGCTGCCACCATGGATGAGCCCAAGACGGTGCCGTGCCCCTCCTGGGTGCCTGCCTGCGTGCGGGGTGGAGGCGGCGGGGAGCGGCCCTTGGCAGGACGCGGTGTTTAGCAGCTCACGGGAAAGGGAAGCCGTGGCGTCACCTCTGGCTGACCAGGAAACGCCGCCTTCCTGCCCTGCGCTCCCACTCGGCGCTGGGACGGGGGGGTGGGCTCACCCCCAGCCTGCTCACCCAGCCCCGCACCCCGGCTGGGGCTGGAGGGGGTCCCTATGGGGGATTTGTGCTCCTGCCCCCTTCCGCTGCCCTGTTTTCTTGGTGATTTTGGTGCTCCCCTTGGCACAGGCTGGTGGTTTTGGCACTGTGTGCTGGTGAGGCGGTGCCGTGCCCTCCTAGTGCGTGGTGCTGCCCGGGTGATTCCCCCCTGGGTTAATTCGAGTCCCATTTTCCCCTGGGCAGCCCTGGGGCAGTGCTGAGCAGCCTGCGGGCAGCACCAGCCCCTCAGGGCAGCACCAACCCCTCGGGGACACGGCTGCAGGTGCCAGGAGAGGAAATGAGCTCAGGTGGCTGTGCCGGGAAGGGGAAAGCGTGAGGGCCGCGACACGGGGAGGGGCGAGACCCACATTGTCCCGCTGCGTGTCCCAATGATTTCACCCAGGGGGACTTTGCTCCCTGAGCCCCACGGCCCGGCCCTTATCTCCTCGCCGCCAGCCTGCTGTTTGCTTTTCCTGCTGGGGGAAGCCAGGCGGCCGCCTGGGAACCCGCAGCCTGGCTGCTGGTGCCAGCGGGGCGCAGCACACGGGGATCGGGGGCATCCCATAGCCACACGGAGCTATGGGGCGGCCCCGTGATGCCCCCCAGCTCCTCGGGGGGCCGCAGCCCCGCTGTCCGCCGGAGCTCGGCCTGTCCCAGGAATGCTCTGGCCCCGTTCCCGGGCTGTCGGCGCTGGGGGTTTGTTTGTTTGCCGTGCCCCCGAGCTCTGCCGCTACCGTGACAGGAAGCCTGGAGGCCGGGGGGAGGGAGGGGAGGGGAAGGGAAGGGAAGGGGAGGGGGGGCCGGCTGGGGATGTGCCTGCGAAATCAATCCCTTTGTCCCCGAGCCGCGCTCAGCTGCGGGTTCCCACAGCCGGGAGACGAGGAGGAGAGAAGAGGAGAGAGAAGGAGAGAGCTGCCTTTGTGCTGCCCCCCCCCAGCACCCCACAGCCACGCTGCTGGCACCCACGGGGGGCACGGGCACCCGCAGCGGGGCGATTCGGGGTGCTGCTGCTGGGAAGGAGAGGGGCCGAGGGCACGGGGCTGTCCCTGTGGGGTATTTCCCCAGGGGCAGCCCCCACAATCCTGACACCGCAGCTCCCGAGCCCCCCGGGAGGGTCTCCCAGCCCCGTCCCCAATCCCAATGATCCCAATCGCCCGGCTGGGGGGAGCCGGGGCTGCTTCCTCCCCGCGGCCCCACCCTGCCTCTTATCTCTCCCTCCTTATCCTGCCTTGGCCGCCGGCCCTTTCCCTTATAGGGCCTGCTGCTGCGCCTCTGCTCGCATCTGGGCAGGTAACTCCCTCTCTGCTCTCTCCCTCCCTCCCTCCCCAGGCAGATTTGGGTGCCCCGACCCGGGAGGAGGGCCAGGCCTCGCGCCCCGCTGCCGGTCAGACCAGTTGCACGCGACAGAGGGAGGAGAGCAGCGGGGAGACAGCCCGGGGCGGCCGCTCCTTGCGGGGTTTTTTCCCCCCCTCCTCGCTCCCAGCCGTCTCCCCGCGGCTCTGTGGGGCAGGGTGGGTCCGTGCGGCGCCCGGGGCGGTGGCTGACCCGCCTGGCAGGAGCTGGTTCTGCCCTGGCCAAAGTCCCCTCTGCTTCCTCCCTGCTTTTGGGGACGGCCCCAAATGGGATCCCCAGGGGTCCTGCACCAAAAGGAGCCCTGGGGGTGCTCTCAGGGCACCTGGCGGTGGCAGCTTTGGGGTCGGTGCCGTGCTGCTCCCTGTGCCCGTGTCTCTGAGGTTGTTTTTTTTGTGTTTTGAGCCCAGCCAGCTGAAATATTTTTGGGTTTTTAAGTAACGGGTGTGCCAGAGAGCGCCTGTCCCATGATGAAAAGCCTTCCTTGCAGCCAGACTCCGAGCTGGCTTCGGAGGAGAGCCCCACAATTTTATCTTTGGGTGCTTGTGGGGGAAAAGGAGAGCTGGGGGGCGAGGGACCGGGGCTGTCCCTTCCCCCCCGGCCGTTGTGCCGCGCTCCCTGTGGAAGGGACAGGAAGGAAACCTCGCAGGGCTGCTCCGGGCCCTTATCTGGGGCCCTGAATAGCCCCACAAATCCCATTGTTGGCGGCCCCACAACGCCTGGAGGTGCGGGATGGGGCAGGGAAACCCTCGCCCGCCTCTGGGGCTGCTGGTTTGGGGTCCCGCACCCCTGGGGGGGCTGTGGGGGGCAGCGATCCCCGTCCCCTGGGCTTTGGGGTGCTGCCTGTGTGCGAGGGAGGGTGGGCAGAGCCGCAGCGGGGCTGGAGACCGTGGGAAAGCCGTTCCTGCGCCGGCTGCCTGGCTCGGACGAGTCCCCACACGCCTGCCGTGCCTGCGTGGCTTTGGGAAAGCTCCCGTGGGCCTGCCGGGCCCAGCACCCACCCCACAGAGCAGGAGGGAGGGGGAGAGGAGCCCCCAGCCCCTGCCTGGCGCCCGGAGCCCCCCTCCCCATGCGGTGACCCCGTTGTCCTGCTGTCCCCGCAGCTCTCCCCCCTGCTGCTTCCTCCCCGTGGTGGCTGGGCTCTCTCTGCCATGGCTCTCTGCGCCTAGACCCGGCTGTCCCGCTGCCTTTGCCAATCACACCCGAGCTTCCTCCTCCGACAGGTCTGTATGGAACAAATTCGCCTCTCTCTCCTCTCTCTCTCTCTGTCTCTCTGCCCAAATCCCGTTGATTGTGGTCTGTCTGCACGCTCACTGCCCTCCCCCGGCACGGGGTGGCAGAGGGGGCCCCAGATTGTTGGCCCCAGGTTTGGGAGCCCTGCTGGGGACCTGGGGGTTGGAGGGGCTTGGCAGCTCTCACGGGGGTTTATAGGGTCCCCTTCTGGGGGTTTATAGGGTCCCCTGCAGCCCTGTGGGAAGGAGAAACCCCAACAAGTCGTGGCCTTCCCAAACCCGTGATGGGAGAAGGGCTGCCTGACCCCAACACCTCACTCATTCCCCAAGCTTAACACTGGGCAAGGGGTGGCCAAGCCCTGCCTGGGGCCGTGCTCTTTGGGGACCCTCTCCCCACCCAGCAGCGGGGCGGGACGGGGCGTTACTGCCATCAATCATATTTTCCCCTGTTCTCACCAGCTACCTTAATAAAATCAGTCTCTCCTGCCCTCTCTTCTCTCCTCCTCTCCCCCCAAATCACGCACAGCGAGGAGCGGGGCTCCCCTCCCTGCCGGCTCCCCCCCTTTTTTTTTTTTTTTTCCTCCCCGCGTCCTCGCCCCCTCCCTGCCCGCCCTGGGCTCCCGGCACCCATGGACGACTCGGAAGTGGAGTCGACCGCCAGCATCCTTGCCTCCGTCAAGGAGCAGGAGGCGCAGTTTGAGAAGCTGACGCGGGCGCTGGAGGAGGAGCGGCGCCACGTCTCGGCCCAGCTGGAGCGAGTCCGGGTCTCCCCGCAGGACGCCAGCCCGGGTTTGGCCAACGGCACGCTCACCCGGCGGCACCAGGTAACAAAAAACCTCGCTGGGGGCAGCCCCAGAGCCCCCCCAGCCACCTCGAGAGGAGGGCAGCCCCCACCTGGCTCTCTCCACGGGGCGTGAGGATGATTTGTGGTGCTGCACGTGGCTGGGAACGAGTGATTAGGGTTGTGCAGACACAGCTGGGCGAACGGTGTCTTTTTGGGGACGTGGAGCTGGCCTGGAGGGTCTCGCAGCGGGTCGGCTCGGGTTTTGGTGTCTCTTTGAGCGTTGAAGGCTGGATGTGGTCAGAACCTGGGCGTCTGCCCCTCTTGGCTCCTTGGAAGGAGGTTGTTGTAGGGCTGCGTGGCCGCGGCGAGGTCCTGGGAGCTCGGTGTTCGTGCCTGCAGGAGCTGAATGAGGGCTGGGGGAGGCCTCTTCTCCGCAGGGCTTGAAATGTGTATTAATCCACCTCGGCTGGAGAGCTCTGTCCTCTTCTTCTCCTGTTTTGGGGTGTTCTCAGCGGGCTGTGCGTGGTGCCGTGCGGGAGCAAACCCTCTCCAGAGAGGGTGCTGGGTGCTGCACCGTGCTCTTGAGGGCAGTGCTCGTGGCACGGGGGCTGCTGGAGGCCAGGAGGTGTCTGCACAACGCCCTCAGACACACGGCCTGGTTTTGGGGTGGTCGCGGGGGCTCGCCGTGCTCCTCTCTTGGCAGTGACGCATGGGGTGGGAGCAGGAGGCGGAAAGAGAGGATATTTGGGGTCCGGGCGGCTGGGTAACTGGCCTGCCCTCGCCCTGTGCCTTTCAGAACGGCCGCTTCCTGGGCGATGCTGACCTGGAAAGGCAGAAGTTCCCAGATCTGAAGCTGAACGGCCCACAGGTGAGGGGAAAGCTCTGGTTTTGGGCAGCCCCCGTGTGGGTGGGGGCATTGGGGTGCTGGAGCAGGGCTGGCGGTGTCCCACACCCAGCTGGGAGAGCGAAAACATCGGGTTTGAAGGCAGCCACACTGGCCTGAATGGGTTTGGGGCGGGTTTTGGTTGGTGTGCAAGGGGATTTGGGAGTTCCCTGATGGGTCAGGTGTCCCAGGGAGGCTCGTGCCTGGTGCTGGGGTCTGACCCCGTGCCCCTGTCCCCGCAGGACCACAGCCACCTCTTGTACAGCACAATCCCCAGGATGCAGGACCCGGGCCAGATCGTAGAGGAGACCTACACCATGGAGGAGGACCCCGAAGGAGCCATGTCCGTGGTGTCGGTGGAGACCTCGGACGACGGCACCACCCGGCGCACCGAGACCACGGTAGGGTCCTGGGTGGGTCGGGGTCCTTTTGGGGTGGTCGACTGCCACCCCGCTGCTCCTCAACAGGAGGATTCCATGGGTTTTTGGGGCCGTGGTGCGGGACAGGCCCCCCTCACGCTCCCTCCACCCATCCCTCCAGGTGAAGAAAGTGGTGAAGACGGTGACCACGCGGACGGTGCAGCAGGTCCCGCTGGGCCCCGACGGGCTGCCCTTGGAAACCTCCCCGGTGGGCGGCGGCGGCAGCGGCTACGTGCAGACGATGGACAGGAATTTCCGCAAGAACGGCACCGGCGGCCCTGGCGCCTACCTGGGCCAGCCGGGCACGGCCACGCTGCCCCGCAACTACCACTACCCCGACGGCTACGGCCGCCCCTACGACGACGGCGGCGCCTACCCGGGCAGCGAGCACAGCTACGGCAGCCTGTCCCGCGTCACCCGCATCGACGAGCGCTACCGCCCCTCCGCCGACGCCTACCGGGCCCCCAGCCGGCAGGATATCTACGGCCCCCAGCCCCAGGTGCGTGTCGGGGGCAGCAACATGGACCTCAACCACTTCCACCCCGAGCCCTACGGGCTGGAGGACGACCAGCGCAGCGTGGGCTTCGACGACGTGGACTACGGGCTGATGTCGGACTACGGCACGGCCAGGAGGGCGGGCACCCCGTCCGATCCCCGGCGTCGGCTCAGGTATTGGGGCGCTGCGTGCGTGGTGGGGGGGCTCCCCGGGGTCTCTTTTCCTCCCGTTTGGGTTTCAGGGAGGTGCGCGGGGGCCACGCGGCGCGCTGAGTCAGGAGCAGGGCTCGTGCAGGAGAAAGCCTGCGCCCGCTTCTAATTGCCCGCTTAATTGGTGGTTAAAACTCCGGGCTAATTGAGCCGCTCGTCCTGCAGCGAGGAGTTCCGCGGGGCGGCTGGACGTAGCTCCGGGCCCTTCCCTCCCTGCTTCCCATCCCGCTGCCGTGGCGGCCCCAGACAGAGCCGGGTGTTGGGATGGGGCACTCACCCCCCACCCCATTTCACTTCTCTCACCCGTAACCGTGCCCGGTGCCCGTTTTGGGGCACAATCCCCGTTCTGGGAGCGGCGGCAGCGTTCCCACTGATCCATGAGCCCCGAGCCGCCCCGCAGGAGCGGTGCCGGGGCGATGGAGGCGCTGCGGCGCTCCCACAGGGTGGGGGAGGCTGCAAGACCTGTTCGGCAGTGGCAGCTCCTTTCGCCCTCGCTTTGTTTCGCTGGGGGGGGGGCGGCAGCGCTCCCAGCCTGCCTGCTGAGCTCAGCGGGGGCTTGGGGGGCTTGGGGTGCGCTGGGGGCGTCCTGCGGTGCCCCCATGGGCTCAGGGCTCGAAGCAGGCAGGGCTGGAGGCTGTGCGTACGGCTGGGTGCCGCAGGGGGGTAGGAGAGGCTGATGGCAGCCTCCCAGGGCGTGCTGGGGAGGGAGAGGAAGGGAGAGAGGAGGCGTTTGCCAGCCCCTGACAGATCCCTGGTCTCTCGAGGCGTGTCCCGTAAATCCCCGGCAGCCCGCGGTGACTCAAGGAGCAGCTTTGTCCTGCGGCCTGTGCCAGCATGAGCGCTGCTGCTGCCGCGGCGAGGAACCAGTCAGGGCGGTTGTGCTCGGGGCTTTATCTCCCCAGCCCGCCCCGCGCTGCCCCCGCTGACTCCAGCAGCCCGCGGAGAGCCAGCCATGGGAGCTGTGGGGCTGCCTGCTCGCCCTCCACCCCCAAAATCTGGCCATGTGCAGGCTCTTCCCTCCCTGTGAGCCGATACCGATGGCAGCGATCTCTGGAATCCTGTGGCTGTGGGTTGGGGTGCTGGCAGCTGGTTTGCTCCTGCCTTTCTTCCTAGAATCAGTAAGATTTGAGAAAATTGTGCAGGGAGTGCTTGGGGTGTGCAGTGCCCCCTCAGCACATGGGGGTGGCTGCGTGTCCCTGCAGCCTCTGCCTGCTGCTCCCAGCCCCGGTGGTTTTGGGGTGTGCCAAGCAGTCCGAGCCCAGCCCTGGTGAGGTTTTGCCCTCTAAAACAAGGGCAGAGGTTTGGTCAGGAGATGTGTGCCCACGGGTGCTGCGGGGCAGCTCGGATGATGGCACAGCAGGGGTGTAGATGGCACAGGACCGGGCTGGGTGCTCACGGTGCCCGCTGGTGTCGCCGCCTGGCTCGCAGCAGGCTGTGCTCGGGGTGCCCTGGAGGAGCTTTGGGGCGGTTTGCTCTCCCGGCAGCTCTGTTATGGGACTGATTTGCCCTCTAGTGGCCACAGGCCCGTGTTTGTTAGTCACCTGTGGTGCTGGGTGAGCCGCCCGGCCCTCAGCACGGGCTCTTCCCTCCGCCAGGAGCTACGAGGACATGCTGGTGGACGAAGTGGCTCCCGACCGGTACTACTGGGCCCCGCTGGCTCAGCACGAGCGGGGCAGCTTGGCCAGCCTGGACAGCCTGCGGAAAGGGGGCCCGGCCCCGGGCAGCTGGCGCCAGCCCGAGCTGCCGGAGGTGATCGCCATGCTGAGCTTCAGGCTGGACGCCGTCAAATCCAACGCCGCCGCCTACCTGCAGCACCTCTGCTACCGCAACGACAAGGTGAAGACCGAAGTGCGCAAGCTGAAGGGCATCCCGGTGCTGGTGGGGCTGCTGGACCACCCCAAGAAGGAGGTGCACTACGGAGCCTGCGGGGCGCTGAAGAACATCTCCTTCGGCAAGGACCAGGACAACAAGATCGCCATCAAGAACTGTGACGGGGTGCCGGCCCTCGTGCGCCTGCTGCGCAAGGCGCACGACATGGACCTGACGGAGGTCATCACAGGTAACGGGGAGGGGACGGGGTGGTTTGGAGGGTGAGGGGGGCACCAGGAAGGGTTTAAAACCCCCCGTGGTCTGACCGCAATTTTGGTGTGTGCTCCTGCAGGGACGCTGTGGAACCTGTCCTCGCACGACTCCATCAAGATGGCCATCGTGGACAACGCGCTGCACGCCCTGACCGACGAGGTGGTGATCCCCCGCTCGGGCTGGGAGCGGGAGCCCAACGAGGACTCGAAGCCCCGCCACATCGAGTGGGAGTCGGTGCTCACCAACACCGCCGGCTGCCTCAGGTACGTACGGGCTCCTGGAGGACAGCTGGTGCGGGCTGGGCTGCTGCCAGGCGCCTCCCCAGCAGTCCCACACGGCTAAATGGGAGCAGCCGTGCTCTCCGCAGAGGAGCTGCTCTCCTGGGACAGCTGCTGGTGCTGCAGCTCTTAATTTTGGGGGTGTTCCTCTCAGTGGAGAGAAGCCAGGGGGGTGTTGAGCTGTGCTGGGGGTGTGCTGCTCCTCTCCGGTGACGGATCTCTCCTGCCTGCCAGGAACGTGAGCTCTGAGAGGAGCGAAGCCCGGAGGAAGCTGCGGGAGTGCGACGGGCTGGTGGACGCCTTGATATACATCATCCAGGCCGAGATCGGCCAGAAGGACTTGGACAGCAAGGTGGGGGTGCCGCCGGGATCAGCGGGGCTGGTGTCCGCAGTGCTCTGCTGCTCAGGGTGGCTGAAGCTGGGTCCGTGCCTCCCAAGGAAGGATTTGGGGCAGGAATTAGACAGGACAAGCTGAAAAACAAACAGGCTCCAACCTTCCTGTGGTCTCTGCTTGGGAAGAGAGCCTGTGTGGGGTGTAATTGAATTTTTGTTGAGCCTTGCCTTGGACTGGTGTGTGGCAGAGAGCTTTTTGGCCCAGCAGGGTGTGAACTTCTTGTAGCAAGCAAGGACTGGCTGTGCCCCTCTTGGGCAGGGGCATGCAGCTGAAATGGAGCCGCGCATCTCTCTGGCCCCAGTTTGGGCAGCTCGGGGTTGTGACCGTGCACTGGGCACGTGCTGCTGTGGCTAAAGTTTCCTGTCTTCCTATCCAGCTGGTGGAGAACTGCGTGTGCCTGCTGAGGAACTTGTCCTACCAAGTCCACCGGGAGATCCCCCACGCCGAGCGCTACCAGGAGACGCCCCTGGTGCCCACCAACAACACCGGGCCCCACGCCGCAAGCTGCTTCGGTGCCAAGAAGGGCAAAGGTTGGTTGGGAGGTGGCATAATGGATCTGTTTCAGCTCCAGCGGGGCTCGAGGGTGGTCTGGGATCTCTGCGCTGCTCCTCTGGCATCTCTCGTGTGAAGGCTAAAGCGCGGCTTTCTCTGGAGGCGCGGTGGCTCCTTCCTCCCCTGGCTTTGGGAGCTGCAGCTCGGCTTGCCCGAAGCGTTTGGCCCAAGCTAACGGCGCCCTGGCGGGTTTCTGTGGTGGCGGGACGGTGGTGGATGGACCTCTGCTAACTCCACGCCTTCCCTTCTCTCCTGTGTCGCCCCTCCCCTTCGCTTTCTTGCCACACGATCTGCCCCATGACGCTGTCGGCACTCCTCTCCTCCTGCCTCCCCTCTCTCCTGTCCTCCTCTCCACCTCGCCAATAGACGAGTGGTTCTCCAGAGGTGAGTGTGCTCTCGGTTTTAATTTGTCCCTGGTTCCACTGGGTGCTTCTCCTGGCTCTTTGCCCCCCCTTCAGCTGGCCACGCGCTGCCTGCTCTGTGCCCAATGCCCTTGGTGGCCCCTCCTGGTACACGCTGCTAGCTTCAGCAGCTCGCCTCTGGGCTCGTTCTCGCAAAAAATGGCTAAAAGCTGTTGGGCTGACGTGGCTGGGAAGAGGTGTCTCATGCCCCTGTGCTTGCCCTTTGAAGGTAAAAAGCTCCCGGAAGACCCTGGTGCCGACACGGTGGATTTTCCCAAAAGAGCAACTCCAGCCAAAGGTACGTTGCCTGGCGTGTTGGTGCAGGGCTGGAGCACACAGAGCTGCTGCTCCCGAGCAGTTGGGGAAGGAGCAGTGTTGATTTCCCACTGAAGTGAACCTCTCGGATGGGCAGAGTGTGTCTGTGGATGCCCGCGTGCACTGGCTCTGAGGAGGCCTCTTGGTGTCGGTGGAGGTCAGGGCTGGCTTCTTGGGCTGTGCTCCTTGGGTTTTCCTGCTTCTTCTCTCCTGGGCGTGAAGGGCAGGCCAAAATGTCCTTTTGAAGCCAAAATGTCCTGCCTCAAGGAGTGTGAACGTGAGAAAGGGGCTTCGAGGGTTGCAGATCCCATCCGTTCCCTGGGCTGTTGGCCTAGGGCTTGAGCTCAGCTCCTCCTGCCGCAAACCCCCTGGGTTTCCTGGGGGTACCCTTGTGTCTCCAGGGAGGGTGAAGCTTCAGGCCAGAAGAATCACGAGGAAGCTTAGGGTGGAGTTGACCCTGTGGGTAGCTCCAGTAAGCCATGGTCGCTCCTTGGGCTGGGCTGGGGGAGGAACTGGCAGCCATCTGCTGGAAATCTGAGCAGCCACCCATGTTCTGGGGCTGGCATCATCCCTCCCCACAGCTGGAGAGACAGCATGGGTGTAAAACTTCCCAGTGGGATGGCAAATCTGGCTTCCTATGTGTAAATAGCAGCCCCACTGTGCAGTGAGGTTTTACCAGAGGTGATACAAACCCCTGAAGCAGCAGCCTGCTTGGTCTCAGAACCCTTCAGTGAGCCCTTGCCCCCCGCGTGTGTCCGGCAGGCTACGAGCTGCTGTTCCAGCCCGAGGTGGTGCGGATATACATCTCCCTGCTGAAGGAGAGCAAGACCCCAGCCATTCTGGAGGCGTCAGCGGGAGCAATCCAGAACCTGTGTGCTGGCAGCTGGACGGTGAGCACCTCAGGGAGCTGGGGGGGATGCGGGGAGCACCTGGCATGGCTGGGGGGGCTTGGTTTGGCTCCGGGGAGCAGCGAGCAGAGCTGGCAGCAGCCCCGGGAGCAGGGTGAGGCCGTGGGGGTGCCCGGGCTCACGCCGTGGTGCTGTGTTCCCCCCGCAGTACGGCCGGTACATCCGCTCGGCGCTGCGCCAGGAGAAGGGGCTCTCTGCCATCGCCGACCTCCTCGCCAACGACAGCGAGCGCGTGGTGAAGGCGGCGTCCGGAGCCCTGCGCAACCTGGCCGTGGACGCGAGGAACAAGGAGCTGATCGGTGAGGGCTGCGGGGAGCCCCTGCCCCCCCCAAATCCATCTGGCTCCTCGGGCAGGAGCTCCCTCTGGTTGGGGTGGCTGAGGGGGTGCGTGGGTGCAGTGGTTGCCCCATCTTGGGTTGTGGCTCCTCTTCAGGTTGCTCCAGAGCATCAAAATTCATTCCTGACTCTTCTTTGGGGACTTTTCCCTCGTTATCCTTTTTCTTGCTTCCTTACACACGGTTATGTCCCCTTCCCAGGCAAACACGCGATCCCCAGCCTAGTGAAGAACCTGCCTGGAGGCCAGCAGACCCCAGCCAAAAACCTCTCGGAGGACACGGTGGTGTCCATCCTCAACACCATCAACGAGGTCATCGCGGAGAACCTGGAGGCTGCCAAGAAGCTGCGGGAAACGCAGGGCATCGAGAAGTTGGTGCTGATCAACAAAACTGGGTAAGGCTCCGCTCAGAGGGCGGCATGGGGGCAGAGAGGGGCTCCTCCAGGGGCCTCGAGGCCGGGGCTGTTCCAACATCGTGTTCTCTGCCAACATCTCCTCCTCTGCCTCTTCCCAGGAACCGCTCGGAGAGGGAGGTCCGAGCAGCTGCCCTGGTCCTGCAGACGGTTTGGGGCTACAAGGAGCTGCGGAAGCCCCTGGAGAAGGAAGGTTGGAAGAAGTCAGATTTCCAGGTATGGGGTTCAGTGGGGGAAGTGCTGTGTTAGTGGGTAGAGCAGGGTCCTGCAGCAGGGGGAAGGGGGTTGCTGGAGCTCTGCAAGACTCGGTTGCAGCTCCCGCCTTGCTGGTGGGACTGGAGACCCTCGAAGGTGTCCCCTATTTCTTTGGGGTGGGGGAGAACACTCTTACAGAGGGTTAAGGTCTGCCAGGAGGGGAGTCTGCACCACCTCTGGTGTCCAGTTTCTTTCCCAAAAGCCACAAAAGTGCTGTGGGTGCACCCTCGGGTTGCTTCAGGCCCCTTGCTCGAGGGCTGTGGGAGGGCAGCATGGTTGGGGCTGGTGGTGTAGGGGCTGTGGGGTGGGGGTACGTGCTGGGGAAGGACGAGCAGTCACTGTCTGGTGCTCCAGGTGAACCTGAACAGCGCCTCTCGGACCCAAGGGGGCAACTCGTTCGATGACAGCACCCTGCCTCTCATCGACAGAAACCAAAAAACAGGTAGGGGCACCTCTGGCACCTGGCCCTGTTGCCAGCCACCTCGTCATTCCCCAGCCGGGCCGTGTTCCCTACCTGCTCCTCACCCCAGGTTCCTTGGGAGCTCGCCCAAGGCCGTTGGTTCGGGCTTTAAGTTGTTTCTCAGGGCTGGAAACGGTGCTTGGGGTGTTCGTGTAGGCCCTTCAGCATCCCTGCTGAGCAGTGCTGAGGCCACAGCTGGGTTTGGGCTGCTCCAGGGGCTGTGCCTGATTTGCTTTTTCCCCCCCTTTTAGACAAGAAATCCTCGCGGGAGGAGATCCAGATGAGCAACATGGGACCAGGTAGGGAAGGGGCTGGGTTGGGGCGTCCGGTTTCCCTGGCGTTTGGGGGGAAAACCTCATCCCATGGGGAGGGGGCTGCTCCCTGACCTTCCCCTGTGCCGCTGCAGACAATTACTCCACGCTGAACGAGATGGAGCACAGCAGGACGCTGGACAGACCCGGCGACCTCGGGGACACGGAGCCAGTGAAGGCGGCGCCGCTGATGGTGAGCAGCTCCTCTCTTGGGGCAGGGGTCGGCACGCCGCGAGGAGGGGGAGCTGGGCCCCCGTGACTAACCCTGCCCGCTGCCCCCTACTAACCCCGTGTGTCTGCAGCAGGACGAGGGGCAGGAGCCGCAGCCTGAGGCAGAGGAGGCGGAGGAGGATGCCCCTGTGCCTTGCCCCGTGTCGGTATGTCCCGCGGTGCCCTGCCCAATCTGAAGTGGTGCTGGCGGATCCTGCTGTGTGCTCCCAGGGGTGCTTTGCCCGGCCAAATCCTGCTCTGATTGCTGCTGCTCCATCCCTCGGGGCCACCGACACCTCTCCGCCGTCACCCCGTCACTGTGCTAACATCTCTCCCTTTTTTCTTCTCTCTCTCCCCACAGCAGAAGATCTAGCTGCCATCCCTGCCTCCGTTCACTTTGGGTTGATAATATATTATATATATATAAATATATAACTTCGTGGTGGATTGGACTGATTTTTTTTTTTACCTTTTTATTTTTGCTGGACTGTTTGTGCCAACTAGCCAGCCAAATGCCTGGGCCCGCTCCCGCCAGGGGCAGCCCAGGCCACTCTGCCTCCTCTGGGCAGCTGTACCTCCCTCTTCGGGGACGACTTCACCAAGAACTCTTCCTCCCTGGCCTTCGCCGCCACCTTCCTCTGGAGAACCGACCCCAAACCCTCCGCCTGCCCGTCGGGACCGCCCGGCGCCGATGCTGCAAAGACTCCAGCCTTCTGTCTTCACCAGGAGCTGCCTTCTCCTCCCACACCTCCCCTCTGCTCGCAGTCGACTGCAGGGACGGGGCCGGAGGCCTCGCCACCTCCTCCTGTTGCCTATAGGATATATTTTTTTGGGGGATGGCTCCGCAGTTCATGCTGTGCGGACAACTGGAGCATCCCTCCCCGCTGGTGGTGGGGCTGGAGTCCGAAGGAGGCTGGAGGCACGGGGCTGCGAGGCGAAGAAGAAACAGCAATAACTTTTTTTTTCCCTGCTTTGTTCTTGTTAGGAGGCTTCGGGGGTGTGGGGAGAAGGAGTTGAGTCGGGGAGGGGTCTGGACGGGCCCCCTGTGCCAGGAGGGACCCTGAGGTGCGAAGAAGGCTGGTGTAGGGGGAGCGGGACGGGCTTCCCCGTCCTGAGGGCGATCCCCCCGGGGGAAGGAAGGCCGGAGGAGACGCGGCAGGGCTTTTTGGGGCGAGGTTTCTTCGGGAACTGGCTGAAGTAGCGGAGTGCTGTGCGCCGGGCCCTGCCGCCGGGCTGCCAGGGGGCGAGCAGCGGGGCCGGCCACGACCCCCCCTGCACCCCGGGTGCCCGCGGCAGCGCCCCACAGCCTCCCCTTGACATGTGCCTTTCTTTTGCCACTGTGAAATAGCTCTTTGAATTGTACTGCCCGGCTTGGCTGGGGCGAGGGGGGATTTGCTGGGCTGCTGGGGGGGCTGAGCTCCCGCCGGGAGCCTCAGCTGGCCGCGGCCGTGCTGGAAGCCCAGATTTTGGGAGCCCCAGGGGGAGCAGGGCTCTCCTCCATGCCCCCTCCCCTGGAGGACAGGCTGGGCTGGGGGCGTGCAGCCTTGTCCTCTGCGCTGTGGTGGGGGGGGGGCTGTGACTATCTTTTTTTGTTTTTTGGGGGTGAAGCGGGGAGGCCGAGGCTCCCTGTGCAACTGGACGCCTCCTTGCAGGGCTAGGAACTGGATGCGGAGCCCTCCCCAGGCTGCAGCTCACCCCGTGTGCCTCCCCCCAGCCCCAAACATCTCCCAGCCCCGGGGCCGAGCCCCCCTCCGGCTCCAGCCGCCCCTCACGTTGATTCAGTTCTGCTCGGGGGTCTAACTTCTCTTTTTTTTCCTTTTGACTACGTAAAACACTAATTCCTTTTAATTTTGTAATTTCAGATGAACCAAAAAAACCCCACCCAGTTCACAGCCCGGCTTCCCCCTTCCCTCCTCTCCCCCCGTGGGCAGGGGAGCTGGCTCCGGGGGGAGGGAGGAGGGGGGGCAGGAGCCACCCTGCTGTTCCCTGTCTGATTCCTGTGCACACTCTTATAACGCTTTTCAAACAAGATGATTTTTTTATATAAATAAAGTTTTTAAAGCGTGGCTGCTGCTTTTCGTGTCTTTTTACAGATTTCTTTGCCAATAACCCATTTATTTCCTCCCCTAGGGGCTGACCTCCCGGGCTGCGCCTTGCTCAGCTGTCTCAGCACTGATGCTGCTCTTGCAGCTGCCCCTGGGGCTGGCGGGATGCCTCCTCCTGGTTGTAAATCTACCGAAAAATGGCAAGAGAGGGGAGGAGCTGCGCTCCCGCGTCCCTAGAGCACGGGGCTTCCTGCTGCTCTGCCTTGCCCTCCTCCGTGCCGCAGCCCTGGCTTGTTGTTGTTTGCTTTTCACAAGTTCAGGAGTAACATAACGCAGAAATTGCTCTTTTATCTAGGGCCAAGAGCATCCCTTCAACAAAAACCACGCTTGCAGCCAGCTGGGCTGCAGGAGCAGACATCAGCATCGCTCCCTACCCCTTCTTGGGTAACAGCGAGCTCCTCTGCTCGTTGGCTTTGTCCTCGTGCGTGGCGTGAAGCTAAGCACAGGAAGGAAGGTGGGTTTGCAGAGCTGCCTTTCTGGAACCCCGTTTTCTGCCCCAGCCCTGTGTTTAGGGAAGCCGTGGCGCCCTCAGTAAGATTTTTTGCTGCGGCTTGGAGCAGCTCTTCCTGCCCTGTGGCTGGGCAGCAGTGGGATGGGGCTTGGTGCTGGTGGGTTTTTGCCTGGTACAGCACGGCTCCAGCTGCTCTGCGAGGGAAACTGGGTTGGAGAGGGGAAGAAGGGAGGTGGGGCAGAGCCCCGGGATGCAGTGGGGAGCACCTGTGTTGCTCTCACCCCCCAAAGCAAGCAGAACCAAAGCAGGGCCAGCTGTTTTATTGCTTCACAGAGGGGGTAACACCAGGGATATTGCTGGATGGGACGATCCGAGGGGTGTTGGGCTCAGCGGGGGCGATGCCAGGGATGGCGGTGGATTCCAATCTGTAGGGTTTGTGGCTCACCGGGGCGCTGCCCGTGCTGACGGGGGGCTAAGAGCGGGGAAAGGAAGGCGGGGCTCAGAGGAAGAGCTTGTCGTGGCAGGGCTGGCAGTACATCTTGTCGGCGTGCTCGCGGAAGGAGCCCTTGTGCAGCTGGCCCAGGCAGTAGGCGCAGATGAAGTGCTCGGGGTGGTACTTGCGGCCGGCGGCCGTCACGCAGCGGCCCGTCACGGGGCGCCCGCAGCCGTGGCACACGGTGCCCTGCCGCTGGTGGAAGTGGGTCTCGCAGTAGGGCCGGCCCTCCAGCTCGAAGAAGGAGCCGCTGGCAAAGCCGGTCAGGCAATCCTGGGGGGCGAGAAGGGGACAGAGCTGGTGCCGGCACGGCTTGGGGGATGCCCGCTCCCCTTCAGCCCAGCCCGACCCCACTCACCGCGCAGACGAAGCACTCGGGGTGCCAGACGCCCTGTAGGGCCGACAGGTAGTTGTCCGTCAGGGGCCGCTCACAGCCTTGGCACTTGGGGGCGAAGAGGGCTATGAAGTCCTGGCGGCAGTAGGGCTTCCCCTTCCGCTCGTGGAAACCTGCGGGGAGGGTGCCGGGATCAATTCCAGGGCTTGGGAGAGGGGCCAAGGGGTGCCCGGGGAAGGGGGCGAGCTGGGGAAAGGCCCCAAGCAGGGCTGGGATGGTGGCAGGGGGCTGGGAGCACCGCATCCCCTCCAGAACAAACCATCGTCCCCAAAAACCTTCCCGCAGTGGGTGCAGAAGAAGTGCTCAGGGTGCCAGGTCTGGTCCATGGCGGTGAGGACTTTCTGCGGGGAGAGGTGAAATGAGGCTCCGGGGTGAGGGGGTGTGCATGTAGGGGGGTTTTGGGGGAGGGGGGATCTTACCTCGCGGATGGGGCCGGCGCAGTAGGCACAGCGGGGGGAGAAAGCCTGGTGGTAATCCTCCTCGCAGTACGCCTGCCCCCCCCGCTCGAAGAAGGGCTGCCCCCCCAGCTCCTGCCCGCAGCGGGCGCAGGTGAAGTGCTCGGGGTGCCAGGCTTTGCCCAGGGCCGTCAGCACCTGCGGGGTGGGAGCAGGTGAGGGTGCCCCTTCCCGGGGGGGCCGTAGGGCTGGGGATGGGGCTTTGGGGCTCACCTTGCCCGCGATGGGCTTGCAGCAGGAGGCGCAGAGCCCGGTGGGGGTGGCGGTGATGCCCAGCTCCTGCAGGTCCCGCGTGAGGCCGCCCAGCATGTGGTCCAGGGAGGGTTCGGGACCCCCCGGTGCCCCCGCTCCCTGCCCCGTCGCTGCCAGCTGCCGGGATAAAGGGGGGTGAGGGACAGGTTCTGGGCTGCCCGTGTCCCTCTTGGTGCCAGGGGCAGGACTCACCTTGCTCTGCATCTGGCCCAGGTCGGCCAGGAGCTCATCCAGCTGCCGGGCGGCCGCCGTGGGGGTGGGCGAGGGGGGCAGCGGCTGTGGGGTCAGCGTGGGGCTGCTGCGGGTAGCACGGGGGGGGGGGGCTGCAGCTGCTGCTGGGGCTGGGGAGCACCAGGGACTATCCCTCCACCCCAACAGAGCTGCCCCTTTCCCCACAAGCAGTAAAGGACAGGTATGCTGATAGCTGGGACCGCTCCCAGGGTGAGGTGAGGAGCACATCCCTCACCCCACAGGACCCCTCCTCAACCCCCAGCCTCTCTCAGACCGTTTTCCACAAGGACCTGTTTGCTGTGGGAACACTGAGGCCACCAGGTGATGCTGGAAAGCTGATGCTGGAGCTAAGGAAGAGGTAACCCTGACAGCTTGGCCACCCTCTGGCTGTATTTTACCTGTACACAGTCTCCAAATCCTTGTGGGGAGGCTGAGCCCGGGGCGGCAGTTTCACCTGCGAGGACACATCCCTGCAGCTCAGCCCACAGGATGCCCCCTGGTGCCCCTCAGCACCTCGTGGGCACCACCATCGTGAGCTGAGCAGGATCTTGGGGGCTTTGGCCCACTTGTCAAGACCCCACAGCATTACCTTTGGGGGTGCTGGGGCATGTTTCTTCTGGCTGCAGTTGGCTGAGGGTCTGGCCGCGGCCGTGTCCTGCTGTGCGGAGCTCGGGGCCAGCAGCGTGTAGTCCATGGAGGCTGGCCGGGAGCTCTGCTCCAGCTCCGCCAGCAAAGCATCTGCAGGGGGAGGACAGAGCTGGGACCCCCACAGCCCCCCGGCACAAGGCTCATGCCGTGTCTGCCCCTGAGGGCTGAGGAGCAGAAGTGGCAGCGGGGTGTTTTCTGCCATCGCCCTTTCTCCTTTCCAGACGGATGCCAGGGCCCTGAGGGGCGGCAGGGGCCCTAAGCACCCTCACCCCACCGCCGCTCCCCCCCAAAACCACAGCCCCGTTTCTCAGATCAGCCCCTCCGCCGCTAAGGGAGGGCACAGCACTTTCTCTTTTCACTTTTCCCTTGCAGCAGGAGCTGGCTTTTCACACCCCACGTAGGGCGGCCGCTTCCCTGGCCCCATCTCCCCACCCAGGGCTGCCCCCTGGCCCCCTCGGATGCGGTGCTCTTCATCTTTGGGCGGTTTGTCCCCATTTTGTGGAGCTGTGCTTGCATCACCGCCGCTCACGCCAGAAGCCTATTTCCTGCCTCAAGGCTCTCCATTTTTGGCAAAGCGCTCGCTCAGACACCCAGCTTCATCCCCCAAGCTCCTCCACCGTCCCCTCTGCAGCATCCCCAAGAAGCCCCCGACCTCCTGGAGCTCCAACCCCGCTGCAAGCTCGGGATCAGGGCTCCCCGGTACCCAATGCTCACCCAAATCCTCCATCCTGCCTCCGCCGGGTCGCGCTGGTGGCAGGCTGAGCCCTGTGGGCTCTCGGTTCCGCTCCCCAACCCTGCCTCCGCCCCCGGGGTTTGGCTCTCGGGGTTTTTCCCTTGTGGGCTGTGTGACGGTGAGAGGTGGCAGACAGCACGCCCTGGGGCACGGGCAGCCAGAGAGACCCCATAATGGGGACAGTGAACGGCCAGTGGGGTGCTCGGGGGGCTCCTGGCTGGTGGAGTTGTCCTATAAAACAGATTTGGTGTCCTGCAGGGCTCATTGCCCTCCAGAAGCCACCTGGTGTGTGTGACAAGAGGTGGCATCGCCATGCAGAGAGCACCGAAGCGTGATGGAGACAGGCCCAAGGCTGATGCGGCTCCTCCAGCACAGCCCGGCCTTTTCAGGGGTGTTTCTCCGAGCTCAACTCCCAGCAGAGCCACCAGTGTTTCCACCAGAAGCCCTGATCACCAGTCTCAGCCATTTATCCACCACAGGGACGTTTCTGCCCCTTCTGAGCCCCGCTTCAGCCTCCGGGCTCCGCGGGCGGCCATTTCAGGTGCTGCCACAAGGCCTCGCGTGCAAGGAGGCGACAAGCCGTGGGTGTGCGCTGGCAGCCTGCCCGGCCCCGGAGAAGCAAGCTCAGCACCTCGCTGCTCAGCCTGGTCGGGCACAAAAACCCTTCCCTGCTGCATTTAGCCCCGCTGCCATCTGAAAAACGGGCTGCTGGTGGGACCAGCACCATCCCCTGGGGGCAGCACGGCCCCAGGAGCACCAAAATGTGCTTCTCTTTGGGCAGTGGGGCCAGATCTTCTTCCAGGTCCATCCTATCTCCACAGATAAGCTCACCCGCTGTGCCACGGGTGCTGCAGTGCCCTGCACAACCACGCTGACGTACCACCAGGGTGAAATGGGTTCAAATTGAGCCTTTTTGTACCAAGCTGGCACGCCATGGTTCATTTAATTACTGCCGCTCTCCAGAGTGGTGACAGCTCTTTTGTTGACTGCCCACAGTGGGGACATTCAGCCGGGCACTGTCCCCAGAACAGCCACGTGGGAAGCCAAACTGCAAGTCCCGTGACACCAGGAGCCAGCCGAGGGACGAGATGAGGCAGTGCTAGCTGGTGTCACTGCCTTGCTGCTTCTTAGGGCAGGACCATTGCATCAGACACTTCCCTTTCTGCAGATAACAGAATCTCTGTGGTAGATTTGATTTACTCCCCCCCCTTCCTCTGTGATGATTTAACCCCTAATGTAAGCATTGCAAACGAAGTTTTAAATTCGGATTCTAAACTTTCACGTTATGAAACTCAAGGCCAGGTGAGGCCGATGGCTGAGCTGCGTCCCGATGATCTGAGCTGTATTTCCATGCGGTGGTTTAGCCCAGACATTTTAATAAGAGTTGAGCAATCCCATGCCCTGCCTACGGAGGAGAAATTAAGCCACAGAGCGACTTGAGAATAACCACCCACAGCAAGACTCCCCGGTTTTAAATAAAACGGGTTTAATTTGAGAATAAATGGAAAGTCATTTCATGTCAGAAAGCATGGGCTAACTGCAGCAGAACAGCGACTTTGGAAGGTGATGTCAGTCAGGTTTTCAGCTAGACGGGTCCTTGGGGAGAGGAGGAATATTTTCACCCACTTACAATACAAACAGCAGCAGCAGACATTACTTAAATTCTTCCTGGGATTTTTCTCGAGGAGAGAAAGAAACTTTTTAACCGAAAGAACCCGAGCAGAGCGACATCGGGCTGACAAAAAGCACGAGCCAGCCAAACTGCCTCTTTGCTCAAAACGAGCCTCAAACCACTGAAGTAACCAGCTCAGAAGAAAGTTTGTATATCATCCTTAAAAAATGCTGCTGCCAAACCCGCGGGCTGCCAGCGCTGTGGCAGGAGGCTGAATCAGCAGCCTCTCGCCTCGGCCTGCGAGGGACGGGCTGGATCCCTCCACAAGGATCTTGAACTTTTCGGGTTCTTTAGGTTTAGCATCAGGACATACACTTCCTCCCCGTGGCCTGGTGCCTTTGCCAGGATGAATCAGACTGTGTGCGTTTCTCCACAACACGCTGGGTTACTACAGCGCTCCCAGGAACCGAGGAACGTAAATGTGGAAGGGAGGGGATGAGGAACACCTCCTTGCAGTGCATTTATTTATTCATTTATTGCAGTGTGTTCTATATAATGTTGGATCCCGGGAATTAAACAAAACCCGACCAGTTTAGCCAAGCTTTTCAGGAACCGGGGGAAAGCTGGGTTTTCTGCTGTGTAAGTGTCACCTTGAACTACAGACCGTGTGTTTGGGGGAAATAACTCTGTTTTTTGCACATAACAAGGGGGGCTCCTCCAGCAGAGCCCTCCCAGGGGCTCGGGGTGCTTGGTGGCGGTGCCGGGCCCCGCACGGCCGGGGGGGGGCTCAGGGGGTGCTGGGCGAGCCGTGGGGGCCGGGCCGGGCCACGCTGGGCGACCCCACGGGGACACAGCGAGCCCCAAGGCGGGAACTACAACTCCCAGCGTGCCCCGCGGCCACTTCCGGCCAAACCGCCACCGACCCCCCCCCAAGGCGGGAACTACAGCTCCCGGCACCCCCCGCGCATGCGCGGAGGCGCGGCGGAAGCGGGGCGTCTCCCCTCAGCGCCGGCCCCGCCCCCCTTGCGCCGGCCGCCATTTTGTCACCGACTTTCACCCGCCGCCCGCCGGGGCGTTTTTTTTTTCTTAAAGGCGAAGCGGCCGCACAAAGCCGGCCCCGCCGCCGGGGCCGCGCCGGGCCGGGCCCTACCGGCAACCGCCGCGGCGAGCGGCCGGCAGGCGGCCGGGGGGGCGGCGAGCGCTACCGGCCCCCCCCCCAGCGGCCTCGCCCGCCGGCCCCGGGCCGCAGGGGGCAGCCGGAGGGGCGCGGGCGGCGGCGGTAGGAGGCGCCGCGGGGAGCGGGGCGGGCCCGGGCCGGGCCGGGGGCGGCGGGGCCGGTGCCGGGGGGGGCGGGGGGGGGGCTGCGAGGGGAGGGGGGGAGCGTGAGGGGAGCGAGCGCGAGCGCGGCGGGCTCCACTGCGCCTGCGCGGCTCGCGGCGCGCCGATTGGGCGCCGGTCCCGCCGCGGGGGCGGGCGCTGCGGGAGCGCGGGCGCTGATTGGCTGCGAGGCGGGGGGAGGCGGGGAGGGGAGGAGAGGGGGGCGGGGCTCGCGCCTCGCACCGCCTCGCGATTGGCGGCGCGGGGGCGGGGAGGAGGGCGCCGATTGGGCGAGGCCGCCGAGGGGGCGGGGCGGCGGGGCGGGAAGCAGCGCGGGGCGGCCGCCGCGGCCACTCCGCTCCCCGGCCCGATGCCGGCGGGCGGCGAGGAGGGGACCCCCGGGCACGGCCCGACAGCCGCACCCCCTGCCCGCCGCCGCCCCCCCGCGCCCGCCGCCGAGCCCGGCGACGACTCCGGGGGCAGCCGCGTGCTGCGGGGCGGCCGCGAGCGGGGCCGAGCCTCCGCCGCCAACACCGCCGCCGCTTCCTCGGCTTCGGGGGCGGCCGCCGCCTCCCGCCGCCGCAAGGCCGAGTACCCCCGGCGGCGCCGCAGCAGCCCCGGCGCCCGAGGAGCAGCCGCCGCCGCCGAGCAGCCCGCGGCCGAGCCGCCGCCCGCGGCCAGGAAGGGCGCCCCCCGCCTCGGGTGAGTGTCGGCACCGGGACCTGCCCCCAGGCGGGGTGTGCCGGGGTCGGTCGGCCACGGGGGGGCGGCTGCAGCCCCGTCCGGAAGGGCTTTGGGGCTGGCAGCCGGCGGTGTGGCCGTACAGCCCCACAGCTATCGGTATCGGGGCTGCTCGGTGCGCCCCTAACTGCGGGGTCCCTGGGGTGTGGGTGTAAGCAGCGTGGGCAGGGCTGGGGCTGCTCGCTGTGCTCTTACCCCGCGGCGTAACTTCCCCCGGGTGAGGCAATCCCTGCTGGTATCAGCCTCTGCTCGCTTCAGCTTCCTCCAGATGAACTAACCCATATTGGTATAAGGGCTGGGAATCACCCTTTTGAGAACATCTCCATGTAGCACAGTTTCTCATTTCTGCTGCCCCACAATAAGATCTCCCTCTTACAATTACCTTTTATATTTTCCAGGTGCACGGATAAAGCAGCCGGTAAAGGTAAGGGCTCAACGCTTGTTCGTGCAGTTGTATTCCCTCCAGAAAGTCAGGGCTTTCCCATGAAGGTAGCCAAACATCTGCTGAATCGCCCTTCCAGGGAAAGCTCTGTTGCTTGGTGACGTGCGGGTGCTTTCCAAGGTCTCTCCCAAGATTGTGGAACTGCAGCAAGCTGCCAAGGAGGCTTGCATGTGCCCAACTTGCAAAAACTTTATTCCAAATAACCACTAGGGTGTTACTTCGCTATCAGAAGCTGAGACCATACGGTGCGGCGGTTTGACAGCTCTCGAGCAGCTGGTAAAATCCGTGCTGGCATCTGTTCTGCTGCTGTCAGGAGTACAGGTGTGTGTGCTCAAGGGACAGCTGGAAGGTGGATGGAAATGAGAGCACTCAAATATTTACGCTTGTCCTTTTCTCGCCTCGCAGTACTGAGCGGGTGGTGAATCTTACGCATTGTTATTCCCTTAGGGATGAAATCAAAGTCTGGGGGGAGACGTGGGAGTGGCTTAATGAGTCTTATTGGGAAGGCCTTAATGATGAGGAACAGTGGCCAGGAGCAGAAGCTTTGTTTCTTCACTGTGAGCTCTGTCCATCTACATAACAGCTTTCTGTAGAAAAATATTAGAGGGCCTTGCTCCTCGCCCAGTGACTTCTGAAACAGTTGTCCCCCCACATTAATAAATAAATAGGTTTATGCAGTGTTGGTTTAGATCTGGTACGGGGAATCGTAACAGAGGATGAAATAGCAAGGGAGATCGTAGACCTGTGCAAATGAATTCACCTTCTCTGCTGGAGCTGCTCAGTTGTTGTTTGCTGGCTTTTGTGACTAGACTTCACAGGCTGCTTTTATTCTTGTAGTTCTTGAACTGTTTGATGTTATTCCTACGAGTCTATAACTTTATTCAGCTCGGGTATTGAAATCTGTCACAGCTGTAGTCAGTGAGGTGTACTCTTGCAGACCAAAACAGAATTAACCAATGTGTGTTGAGCTCCGACCCCACAAACACGTAC